TACCAATTATGAGATAAGAATTGAAATTATGAATTATTTGCGTCTAAGATATACAAATAAAACGGGTTACAGCCAATTACTTTGAATTTCTATACAACGAACCTTTGAACTTATAGATCCAGCAATTGTTAGACTTCTTGTAATAACTTGAAATGCAAATAGCGTCTCTAGACTTTTGTTTCCGTCCAATTATTAAGTGGAACGATAAACTCAGTCATTATCAAGTGAGTGTGGAATTATGAGTATTTTCTTGTATCTTTCCACAATGTTAAACTCTTTGGTTAGTTCAAACGTTTTGTACAGCTGTGGTGATAAAGGTCGTAGGTAGGTGGTAAAAAAAAAAAGGTAAGGTACATGAAACATACTATCTAAAAATTTTATGTTTCGTTACTGTGCTTTAAAAGTGTTCACAAGACCAAGTCTTTATTATTAAAATTCAACGTTATATAAGTCTATATTTTTCTCACTCTTGCGCTTAAACATTCTCGAATCTTAAGCACGTACCTTGCATTCAAAGAAATGTTAAAGTATTTTTCAGAGGACTCGGCAGTTTTATGTAATACGTGTCGCTTTGGTTTGTTTATAAATTTGTTTAGTACGTTTACTGTCTATAAAAGTCGTGAAGCCTTGTTACTTCGGAGCGTGAGATATTTATGTGTTACTTTTGTTGGAATTTTTATATTTTTTGAATTGAGGGAAGTTTATCGTGGAGACTTCGCCAGAGACATACGTGGCAGACCAAAATTACGTTGATTAGATGACGTAGACTTAGGACCTCTATAGACCAGAAACTGGAGACACCTGGCCCAAAAAAGGACTGTTTGTAGATAAAGGTGTAGATCTTTTTATAAGTAAATGAACAGCCTGTGTCTTTTGGGTTTGTCGAACTATCGAACTCTTGTGCTTACTTTGATACGATCAACAACTGAGCCAATACTGTACACAGTAGTGTATAGTTTATAGTACTATGTACATCAAAATATATAGTTAATTAGTACTTGGATCTTTCTTATTTTTCAAATATTAATGACGGTATTATATAAATTAAAAATCATCAAAGGGTTAGGATTTAGGTTTAAAACATTTTACGCATTTAAAACTCAATTAAATTTTACTTGAGTAGGTAAGGCAAAGGACACGGTATCTCAATCGAATGACAAGCAACACGGGAACCCAGTGGATGTTGGTCATATCCTGCCTCTTGGTTGCCAATGGTGTTTGAAAATAGATTTTAATTTAGGTAAGATTATTTAAAAAATTGAACTTTCTTATATTCCCCAATCGTAGCGTAAAAAATCGCGGTAACGAGGAAAAGGTGTTTTCTTAAAGCCGTTTAAAGGCATATAGGTGTCAGCAAAGTAATTGGTCATTTCCGTCTCTTAGAGAGTAGTTGCTGCCCCATTATATTAGTGATTAGTTCACTAGACTGATCACCAGAACCGGGCGTTCCATGTTAGTTCCGTTGGAATTTGATCTAAAATGTCTAGTTCCTCACGTACGTGCGAGCCGGGAGCGCACCTGCAAATAAGCTGTCAAGTCCTTAGTCCTATGAGGGCCGAGATTTGTGACCAGCTTGGGACATTAAGGTAAACTAAGACTAAAGCATACAACTAAGAATTACCTTTTTGTAGGAAATTAGTATTCCCTTTTCATTAACAGAGCAGGACAGACAGATAATATAACATGGTGTTCATTTGATAGAAAGTCAAATACTTGGGCTATACAACTTCTAAGCTAGATGTGTTGTCGACCTATTTTGGTCTTTGAACACGCGATTAAACTTAGTGGTTTTTTCATCTGTAAACGGGAGGGAATTTCGATATTCCTACTACCTACCTATTAATATTTAGACTTCCAGTCGAAACCCGCCATGTTTCTAAAATATTTTTAGAAACATGCATGGGATCGAATCCACAACCCGTTGATTATTATCCATACATTTCTAACATTAGACATTAGACCAGCCCGTCGAAATATATTTAATATAGTTTTAATAAAAGGAGCTGTTGACTCAAAACTTAGCGTTAAATGAATTTATTATACTGAGTCAACTATGTTTCAAGAAAGTTTTAATGCATTTCGCCCCAAGTCTCTGTCATTTTAGCATAGCACAAGTAGCGGTGTTGCAACTATTACTTAATTAAGTAAAATGCATATTATTTATATATTGCCGCCTTATCAATTAGACCTCGTGAAACCACACAAAATTACTATATCGTTACGTGATCTGGTCTTTGTAAACTTACTGAATGGACGTGGCCACAAATGTGTAAGATGGACCTAATCTCGATATTCCTATTACCCAACTAATATCCAGATTTCCAAACAAAGTCTACCATGTGTCAAAAAAAATATGATTTGATTAGAAACAGGGTTGAACCGGTGGGGATCGATCCCTTGATTGGCCCAACGAGCTGGCCGAAAGCTGATCAGACTTCTGCTGCTGCAGCTAGCAGTTATTCAAGTTGTTGTTGTTTCTTTGAGATTCGAACGCAAATCACTAAGCCATAATTCTGTATTTTCGCTCATAAATTTCGGCAAATGAACACGTCATAAACAGAAAATAAAGTATACAAAAAGACGGAAATAGTTTAAAATGGCCTGCGGTAACTTAACTCCACAATAATATTGGCATAGGTCCAAATTGGTTGAAGAGTCAAGAGCAACAAGTAGGTATATATTACAGTCTGGCAACACTGTTTATTAGCCGTCTCCACCAAGGGACTCATATTGTACGTCTCCATTTATCTTATGCTTGTTCGTTGGGAATGATTAAAAAAATATTTGTGATTTAGGTACCTTTATCTACTAGAATCAGGGTGATCAGGGATAAATGAGCATAGCTATTTCTTATTCACATATACACAAACAAATTTCGCTAATTTTTGCTCAGAAAGTTTTTTCCCTTACCTATCTTTACACTTGCCTTATCTACTATCTATACTAATATATAAGCTGAAGAGTTTGTTTGTTTGAATACCTAACCTGAAACTACTTGGACGAATTGAACAATTGTTATTGTGCTGGTTAGAGCATTCATCAAAGAGCACTGTAAAACATTGCATTGCGTTATGACTAATGGGAGCGAAGAAACAGTGGGAAATGTGGAAAAAACGGGAAAATTATTCGTCCTTGTGTTTACGTTGCGTACGCTGCGAAAACGGTTCTACATACCCAAAAATATGTATGGAAGAATGATTCCTCGTTAAATGATTTAAAATAAATATAAAATATCCGCGATAGTATATACATTAACTTGCAAGAACTACGGAAGCGGACGACGTCGTAGAAAAGCCTAGCAAAGTTGGTAATGAAGACGATTTAGTATACACATTTGGTTAGTGTGTTATATATATTCATATTTAGCCCATATCCCGTTGGAATTATGTGCTGATAATAATGATGTCGGTATCTAACGGCTGATAGTACTAATAAAGTTGCATTAAAACCAAATGAAGTCCTGAAATACCTGTAAAGCTTGCGTGCCATATTACCGACTGCTACGTGTCAATTTGACTGTCGACTATATTACATTCCGTACGCGCTTTGAAAGCGGAAACCACAACACACTGATTCTACATAAAATATTCAAGCGTTAATTCGCTTGAAAATAGAATGGAATGCTTGTTTGCTTTAGAAATTCACTATAGTATGCAAATACCAGATTTCAATTTATAAATTAATAACGTCGTATAGGAATACTGCAACTGACCTGGCAAACGTTCTTTTGCCATATGAAATGTTTCGACCAAAATTTCAATACCATAAAAACGGTTCTTTTAAGTTAATTTTAAAAGGTAGACATATACTGTTGTGGATAGTTCTTAGATTATATAAAGAGTATCTTGAACCGTTTTCCCAGCGCACGCAAACGGCAACCCTCGAAAATGGTTAAGTCCCCCGTTTTTTCACATTTCCCTCTGTACCTTCGCCCCTATTGGTAGCAGCCTGTTGTTTAATAGCCTATAATCTTCCTCTATAAATAGTCCAACCAACACAAAAATATTTTTTTATTCGAGCCACACATACAAATAATAAAATGTATTTAAACGGGACTAATAAAACAACTTTTAGAATCCAACGATGTTGACTTTTTATGTCAACCATAACTTACGTCGATGAAACGTACAACTTTTAAAGTTTCATCAATTATATCTACCCTTAAGTAAGTACCGCTGTTTACTTTTAGAAAATTTGTTTTCCTAGTAAACGAACAAAGTTTTCCCTCGCTCAAAGTAACTAGCGTCCAGTCAGGTTGATATAAAGGTATTCTTCTTTAGGTATCCATTACGAATTTCATAGCGCATTTTTAGTATTTTTAATTAATTTGTTGCCGGCTTGGATTATCATTGAATCGTTGCGTCGAATTATACAAATTGTAATTATCTGCAATGCGGTGTTTCTGTTTCCTGAGAAGCGAAGTTGAAAGACAAAAGACGTATCCGCTTTGATTGAGTTTGCACCTCGTTGAAGTAATCATTATAATTTTATTTCTAGGTCGAAATAAGTCTGTGGTTAACTTATATGTTTTTATTATGTCTTGGTAGCTTTAATGAATAGCATTCATATTTATCTCATGATGGTAATTATCAAAATCAAAAGTTTATTAATTGGTCAAGTCCCGCCCTCGTCGTTATTTTTAAATTTAATTTTAGTCGTAGACACATATCTATGTCCGGCCCGTAAGCTGTAAATGAGCTTATTTCCACATTATTTATAAATACGACAAAAATGTATTGCAGTAGTTAAAATATTTTGTGAATAGTTTTAAATAATACATTTCGTTTTGAATTCTTAAAAGTGTTTTGTGTAAATTGTAAGCCATTCGTATATTTCTGATCGAAAAAAAAAATGTTTTTCAACGCGTATACAAACTACACAAGATAAGGCTGTTTGTTAGTAGGTAAGTCTCAAAAAAAATTTAACACAAGCACAAAATGTTCTAATTTCGTTTCCTTTTCTAATTTCTTGAAAATTCAAACACGGAACAAGAGTTAAAACTATTCGCGGAATAGATTTAAATAATCCAGTTCATAATCATAAGCATTAATGTGATATTTTAAAGCTATTTTAAAATTTAACACGCAACCATTACCCTGAAAAAAAAGCACTCGCCTTAAATTAAAATTCACAATTTGATTTATTAATTATTCATTACGGATATAATTCCCAGTAAAACACGCACAATGATATTTACCCACTGGAAAACATTAGGTAAGTAATACATTTTTAATTAGAGGCCAGTTCCCGTACTGTCAACTTGACGTTGATTTTACAAAGGTTTTTTAAAGGTAAAGAATTTTTTGTTTGTATAAAAGCAGCTGCCTGACGGGCTCGTTGGTCTAATAGTAGCAGTGTACAATGATCAAAGAGTCCTAGGTTCGATCCCCACCAGGTCCAACATGTTTCTTATTTTTAAATTTATTATTTTTCTTCATTATTTTTTCTTTTTTTGACTTCGTCTGGAAATCTGGGTATTATTGGATTATGCAGGAATTTAAAAATTCCGTCCGGGTCACGAACCACCGTCCACAGATGAAAAAGCGTTGAAGTTTAATCGCGTTTCGGTTTCAGTCTGTGGATTTCCGACTATCCAAAGCTAAAATAGGTCGACAGCGCATCGTGTTCAGATGCTATAGGCTGGTGTATATCACCGACCATCAACCCCATGCCATGTCTGCCCTCCTCATCATAAATAAAACTACTCAAATTTAAAATCACATAACGTAACATGAACTAATCTATGTTAGACGTTTTATACGAGTACTATATAGCAGTATATTTGAAATAATGATTTGAAGATCTTGCTCTTTTCAGAACTATTATATGACATCCTTCAAGATCTTTTTCAGTGATAAATATTAAAGCTATCTTCGTCGCCTTCAGCATCATAATTAATTGTATAGAATGCAATAAAAAAATAAAAAAATATTATTTTTATTAATATAATAAAGTAAGCATTTGTCTTGTTAACTATTTATTATGTGTTATAATCTGTGTATAATCGAAGATCGATATTATAGAAAGAAACGGAATTGAGCAATCAAGAAGTAAGAGTGGACGTGACGTTTCGTTATATCGCACGTCAACAAAGAGATTTTATTTTTTCCAGGAAACTGCATACAAAACTCCGTTTGTGAATACCAACTGTAATATGTAGTTTATTTATCGGATTATTTCTTATAGTCTTCTGTGCGAAGTATAACACAAAAAGCTTTGCAATAGTAGTTGATTTTTGTGCCCTGCCCGACAGAAACAATCTTTTGTTTTCTCGGGATTCAACGCAATGACAACACGTTTAACCATTAAGCTACAGAGGTTGTGAAGTTTTTTTTTCTAATTTTGTCGGGGTCTCCCCTTCTTCGGTATTGACTTCGGGAGTACATATACTAAAATTGGAACGATACAACGAAGATTAGCATGGCCCCTGCGCAAGAAGGATATTTTGAAGTTGAGCTCCACTTTAATGTAATTTTTTTTTTATCGAAAGTAGCTGTATACCCATGCTTCAGAAGTTAGCAATTAGGTTGTCCCCGGACAGTTCCGCTGTCCATTAGTTAAATGTTCAACATCATTATTCTTTTACTCTTTCAAGACATAGCATTAAATTTACGAGGGTTTTCTTTAAATGAATGTGTAGTTCGTCTTTTGTTTCAACTGCACGTGAATGTAGGTCAGAAGCTCGGAAAATAGTCATGTAGCCCTCGAGATGGCTACGGTCTTTATAAGCCAAACTAATTGAATTAATAAATCCGATTTCCATGGAAAGTTGAAATACGCTTTTGAAAAGTTCGGGACCCGAAATTATCGGAAAACCGATGGGTTAATTGGAAAACAACTTTATATTTAAAAATCCTTTTTCAAAAGCTTTAATACTTTCCACATGTTAGCATTCAAAATCTATTAAGATTGAACAATTTTTACACCACAGTGTGCTGCTGCTCTAACCGATTGAGTTACCGTGTCGGTTCAAGTCCCGTCTGTGTCGTATTTTTTTGTAAATAAATGTTTAATTTATATGATTCTTTTTCAATTAAACTATATTTGTGGCTAGGTTGATTTATTATTCTTATAATCAGTAAATGAAATAAACAAAATCTTAAAGTATTATATAAAAATAACAATAGTGTACATAGAAAATAAAATTATCTTAAAAATTGAAATATATATATAGAGGAGGACACATAAGAATGAGGTGCGCCTGGATGGTGGGTGAAATACTCGAGCCATATAATATCTAAATATGCATGATGCCCTGTCGAACTATTTTGGCTTTGGATATTTAAAAAATTCGGTTCCTAATTTGATTTTATTTGTTCTTGTTAATTTGTACAATACTTATATTTACGTCAAAAACGGAAAGGCTTTTTCGTTGCTTTTTTACTTTTAAACTTACGCCGTACCTGTTAAAAATTTTAGGTGTAAAACTCACCGGTACGCCATGATTCTCATCGTCTACCAGTGAGTCAGTGATGGGTATCATGCCATCCACCACGACCATGTGAAGTCCTAGTCGGTATTTTCCTATAGTCCGGGGAGCGACGAAGCGCTGTTTCTCGAGTAGAGTAATTGTGAGTAATTCACCCTTGTCCACTGGCGTTGAAAAGTGCCATACGAATGTCTGGAAAGAATATAAACGTTAATAGACGTCAATTTAGTTTTTGCTAATATTTTTTTCTTTCTATTAAAGTTACTTATAGTCTGTTGTTTACGTTAGTAGTAAATTTTTTAATAAAACACTTGACGGTTTACAACGCGAAAGAATTTTCATCGCGAGGCCGTCCTCTTGTTGAGGTAGGAAAAACGGCCTCAAGATATAAACAAATCCTATATTTAAAAAACTAGATCGCGAGAGACGACAATCTCCCCGTGACAAACAGATGCTGCAAAGCATTCGTAGCATTGGGCCAAATAAATTAAACACAAGTTAACAAAAATTCAAGTTTAGTATTTCAAACCGTTAAAAGTGTTAAAAATATTGACACCCCCTCTTTTCAACAATACCCCACAAAGAACAAAGACAAAACATAGTCCGTGAACGTCAACTAAAATGTAAAACCTTAAATTGGCGACGTTATTGTAGGAAACAGTTAACATTTCCGCAGCAAAAAATATTGACCCAATTAACACGTTTGGATGAAAGTCTGTTGTGGATTTTTGGTACACCTATAAAATGATACGTACCTGATTCACTGTGATAAGCTCATCTGGGTCCAATATGGAGGCAGAGGTCTTTCTTTCACCTGCAACAAACAAGACATTTAGATTAATGATCTAGATATTTACTCTCGTTTGTAAACGTTTTGCTCGCTAGTGGTTGCCTAACTCAATTTTAGTATCACATTGCAAGTATTTGAGTTGTCAAACTAAAACAGAGAATTAACGTTGGTAGCGAAAATGTGTGTTATATTTACTTCCGTATTACATTTAAAGCTAAATCTAGCTACAAATTTACCTAAAGAAGAAAATTTTTATTTCCTTCCTTAACATTATAATGATAACTTTGCAGCAAAACAAAATAGACACTCTTGAAAGAAGTACCTGGAATGACCAGTATTTATATTCTTCGTTTCACTATTCAATATAGTAAAAAGTCCCGAGTTTGAATCTCGGCGATTAAATATTCGATATGATAAACACTTTCAACAGAATTCTGAACAATTTATTGTCTTCAATACATGTTAATGAAAATGTATCCCCCTCTGGTCCACAGAGGAAAAACTGGGTATAATTTTTTAACATCAATCACAACAACTATGAACCCGAAGCTTTATTAGATATTATTTATAATCTTCATACCTATATGCTCTATCAGGCCAAACATATTGTTTCCTCAGGAATAACTTTACTTACGTGCTTCAATGATTGGAAAATTGCTACAAGCCACGGATAATATATCAAGCTAGACATAATATGTCGTGTTTCTAACAAAAGCAATCCTAATTTTGTTTTTTTCCTCAATTATTTGCTAAAAGGCAAAGAGAAACAGAGTTGCGGTTCACCCGCGTCTAAATTCTGCCTTAAAATTCTGGAGGTAACTGAAACTTTTCAGCATAATTTTTTGAGTTGACGCAGCAATTTTTTACCATGTTACCTGGTACGTGTATATGTAATTAGGTAGTTGGGCAGTTTAATTATGAACTTACATTTATAGTTAAATTATTTACCTATTTATTATAATCAACAAAATAATAATGTTTCAATTCAAACCAGTAACTCCAGATACTAGATAAGAGCGTTCATACAAACTCTTCAGCTCTATAATATTAAATATCTATATCAATATCGTACACAAAACACAACACATGTAAGTTAGTAAGTAAGTAACATGATATTACATAAAAAATTGAACTCAATTCTATACCTCGTAGTGATAGAAAATTGTTTTAGTTGTACAAACTATTGGGAATTCACGTCCCTTGGCAACCAATGGAACCCAGTAACATATATAAAATTCAGGAAAAGTTCCTAACTCTATTTACTTTACATCGTGGATACGTTTGAAGTTTCTGAAAGGGAAAATAGGTAAATGCATTTTGTCTATTTCTTTCAAAAGAAACAAAATATATAATATAATTCATAAACCACTGCCAAGAGCGAGAAAAGTCGTGAAGTGTTAATCCGCGTTACAGTCTGTGGATTTACGAATGTCGTACGCGCATTTGGATTTTAGGTTTCATCAAGAGTGACCTAGTGCTTGACAGTCCTTTAATAAAAAAACTTTTCATTTATAACTCTAATATTATAAGACGAGTTTGTTTGTTTGTATGTTTAAACGCGCTAATCTCAGGAACATTTATTGAGGAAGGCTTTAGGTGTAGGCGTTTATATAAAACATATCGTTGTGACTAAAATAGGAGCGAAGAACAGCGGGAAATGTGGAAAATGATTCGTACTTGTACTTGTGCGGTGCGGTTAAAGATACCCAAAAAATGTGTATTGAAGAATGATTTCTCTTTCAATTACCAAAAAAAATGTTGGCGACACCATATTTCTATCTTTTAAGATTAACTTGCAAGAGCGCTAAAATTTATAAAGATGAAAAGGAGGTTTACAAAAACAAATTTAGATGCCCAAAATAACTATACTATGCGGACGAAGTCGCTGACACAGCTAGTCTTCAATAAAGACACATCATTGTTAATAAATGACACTAATGAGTTTGAATGGAAGTAAATTAAATTGTATCGAATGAACTGTAATGAAATTGTTTAATTAAACGTAATTGTTTTAAACGTTCAATTTTATCAGATGCTACAAATGCAATGATAAAACGTTTTTGTAAATAAAATCTAACAGATCTGGAAGGGTTTAAATAATAAAGGAGGGGTGGCAGCTAAGGGTGTGGATTTCGACCTGATCTTACTCCCTCTAAGCAATTATTCAGTACATTCTAAATAAGCTATCTTCAGAGCCATAGTTGCAAACAAGAGCAATTATACATTATGATTATACACAAGAGAAACTAATTAGTTTAGGATTTTGGTTGTATTAGGAAATTTTTAATTTAATTAATTCTTTGAAGCAAGTTAAAATATTTAGATTATTTTAAATGGGAGTTGGGTATATCGAAATGCCGTCCACAGATGAAAAAGCTTTAATTTTATTTGGTTTCGGTTTTAATCTGTGGATTTTCGGATATCCAAAACCTACTTTGGTATTTCGTCTTTCATCAAGTAAACCCCCCATGCCTCTCTGCCATTCTCTATCATAAATAATAATCAGTACGAGTTACATATTCAGTAAATTGTGAATTGAAATGAAACACTTTTAATGGTTGGTTAATCAATTAACATATTTTTAATTACGACGCGACATTTCGATGTAGTGACAGTGGTCAATGGGGGGATTTATGAAGGAGGGTGTCCCTGGTATTAAAGATAATTCTGCTACACAAACAGAAAGAGAACAGAAGTCGAGTCATATTGTTAACAACGTTTTATTAAGATGGTATTTGCGAAAACTACATACCAAGTATTGTATGTAGTATAATATTCATTAGAATATTCAGAAACAACACCAGTTTTACAATAATAAACTTATTTTAAAAACATAAGAAGAATTACAAATATAATATTATGTATCTAAATATACATAAAATACGATAAGACACTTGCTTCTGAAAAGCAGCCCAAACAGCTATGTTGGGACTTATGTCACGGATTATTACACGTTGGTGGGGTCGTGAATACAAAAAATAAGTTATTGTTCTCTTCCTCTTTTATACTAATCTACTTGTACGAATGTTCTCTCAATGGAAATATTATAATTATATTGTATTAATAAAGTTTTGGACATCAAGCCCACATCTTAACTTAATTGGGTGGCGGTAGTAGTTGAAGAACAGCCTCGGCTGGACACAGGTCCGTGTGACTTTGGACTACAAACATGTTCCCAGGGCTCCCTCGAAAGCACCGTAGCAGGTCGGTCGTGTGTTTAGTGGTTCTGGTCGACTACCGCCTTCGTACGAAGTACGTGTAGTACGATTTACCACAATTCCAACGTCACAATTGCCCGACATGGGCGTACATTAGGCATTCACACTATCAGTTGATAAAAAGCCCAGCTGTGGGAAAATAACAGTAGGACGTGAAGGTGATACGTTTCTTTTTGTTGTATGGCTTTAAACAAATTAATAACCCACACTCATGCTACCATTATGTGTATTTACGGCGTATGTAATTAGGCACATATAATTTTGCGATCAGATTATTTTACAATGACTAGGTACAGGTCGAAAATTGTTCCATATGTTAACCGAATATAAGAAGCTTAATCCGAAACTCGTAATTCCGAATTCAAACTTCTAATCTTTTCTTTTTTATTCATTGACCTGGCCAGATAAGTTTATATTTATAATCTTATATTTAGTATAAATAATTGAACTTCAAATCAGTGAGAAAAAAATAATTTTAAAATTTAATATTATGTCTCTTTCTAATAAGAGAAAAATAAAAAGTGTAATCTCCGAAATTACGAAGACGTTTAATTTTATCCCAAATTCGATTCCGGTTCAAGGCATATTTGGAAAAATCTCAAACATTTCTCAAGTGCTGACTAGACTTTTATATTGCATTTACTGGATATTATTATCAATCAATAAAGAGTTTTTGAATATATACGTGATTCGGAGCGCTTTATTTTATTGCCCTTTAATAGTACCATTATAAGGAATTCTGACTTGCAAAATGCATTCACTAACAGACAGATATACTTCATTTGAGAGCAAATGTATTTGCCTTTTCTGTTCGTGACATTTGCGTCGGAGTTGTTGAATAGCTCCCATTATTCCCCTTCTATTCATTACTTTATCAAAACGACTCTAGTTTCTTTATTTAATACTTTCATTATTTATTATTTTATTTTATGTTGCATCTCGCAAGTTGGATCATATTCTCTATTTTCTTCTGTAATTTTATTTCCTTTGATTGTCTCTTGTTTCTTATTAGCAATTTATTAATGGTATAGAGAGATATGATATAGATTTAGTTTTTTTATGTCTTTTTTTATGTTTCATATTATTTTATATACGTCATGAAGTTTGTCACCTGATGATAGACGACATATTTCTTCTTAATTATCGTAATAGACCCAAAAATAAATCATCATTTTTTTGGTATTTTACCAATACAAAATGGGGTTCAAATTCCATCGAGTCCAATATGACTTCTAAACGCATGATTAAAAAAATATATAAAATAGACTCTGCCTAGAAAATATGATCATTAAGTAGGATGTAGAAACTACGAAACAAAGTCCTGGTCAACCACTACTCAGGAATACTATAGCGGAGATGTGTAAATTAATCGAAAAAGAAATGAAAACGGTAGCTCAATTGGAGAGCAACGAACAGCAGTGACGATGGCGGTTCAAGTCCTGCCCGAGTCGAAAATTTTTTCTTTACCTTCATGTGCAGTAACATGTAAAAAATAATAAAGTTTTCAAAAGTCTTTCGACAAATCTTGATTATATGTTATTGGGCTGTATTGTATTTTACCTTCCATCGAGTGAATTCCATCACTTATCCGGCCACCTCTATCACAAAATTGGCATTAAAAGCTTTATAATACCAACATTAGCTTATAACAAAGGTATTCCAAAGCACATAATACCTATTTCTCTATTCAAAAACGATATTCATTTTAATAAGCAAAGTGTACGTGTCCGCTACAGCTGATTTATATTCCCCAGCTGTTTGGTTAACGCTAATGGAGATCCGATAGGGTATCTTGCACGTTGAATTAATCACAATATTGGATAATTGGGTAACGATGGGTAATAATACTGCGTTTAACGCGAGCTTAGTGTTTTACACATATTATATCCATATTTATGAACTAAACAAAATGGCAATAATTTTAAAATCGAAAATAAATTTTAAAAAATTTCGACAGTCAGTAGCTCAATTGGTAGAGCAACAGAACGGAACGCTGACAATGCCGGTTCAAATCCTGCCCGAGTCAAAATTATTTCAATTTATTTTCGATTTTTAAATTATATTGTGCCTACGTGTGCAATAACATGTAAAAAATCTAAATGGTAATAACTCCTTACTGTAAAATGGTTTAAGATTAGTTTTCGTTTATGGATCGTGTATTTTTTTTTCTTCTGTCATTAGAACCAGTGTAGCCTAATTTATGACTTATAGTAGTTTTTATTATCATTGTATAAAAATGTTAATCTACAAGAGCACAGTGACCGAAACAGTCAGTACTCTCTATTAAAGAAATATTACAGTTGCATCTGGCTATTTTCCTAATCTCTAATTCAACCAGAATATACGGCGCGGTGTAGAAACAAGGGGATCGTAACATAAATATCTAATAATTTGGATAACGTACTAACAACATCGTTAATTAATTACACTTGTTAACAGGTTACAACTATATTAAACTGAGCAGGTACATACACAATTGCAGATCAAGAGGGAGTTCAAATCTCGGATTAGGCAAAATGTTAGTTCGCTCTATTTGAGAACTAGATATGCCAGCAACTTCAACCGCATGAAATAGTTATTTTAATCGTCAAGAGCTTTATAGATAACTGTTACCCACGATGTTGTCCACGTCCCTTTGTTCTTGCGAATTTATTTGACTATCTTTTAAAATTAACTCACGTATGCTTTCGCGGACATTTTCATACATGTTTTTTGGTTACTTCAACCGTTTTCGTAGCTCACGCAACGAAAATCCTCAAAGATAATTAATGTTCCCCGTTTTTACCACGTTTTACTCTAACTCTTCATCTGATAGAGATATCAGTCGCAGTTATTCTTCGATAAAATAAAAAAAAATAGCACATTATGCCGTCGGTTCCGGTTATAAAAACGCGGTCTGTGCTCAATTGATATTAAATACGTGATCCAACAATCTCGTTAATGACAAAAATGATCTGTGAAATGTTTGATAAAATCTGGTAGGTAGAATAAATAACAACAAATATGACATTTATTAATATAGCGCAAGCGGCATTTTATAAAGGAATATTAAAATAAAGTATAACTTTTATTGTTAAGCTAGCTGCCAGTATCGACTTTGTTGCAGGAAAAGTTATCGGTTTGTCGCTTTGTGAAGTATGGGTGGAAAAAAGTGCTGTTTTTTGTAGCTTAGTTTCTGGTTCCCTAGCGAGATTTACAAAATTGGTCAAACTGTTCGGGGTTTTCGCGTTTTAAAATTTCTGACAAATATTTTATCTGTATTTAAGGAAAATGTGATGTTTCAAAAGTAGATAAGAATAAATATTCCGGTTATTATCAAAAATTTAAAAAGGCTCCCGTCGTTGATAATATAACAACATAGCTTCAGGACACTATCTAATAAGCTATAACCGAAAAAATATTTTTTGAACTTGATAAAGATGAAAGAAAAAAGTAACGCCATCTTGAGATAATGTTATCAGTGAACATCAAAGGTTTCGCAAATTACAATTTTATTAATATAACTTCCGCCTTCGAGTAAAACGGCGAAGTTTCCAACGAGAATTAATTGAAGGTAATTGCGTCTTTTTTAGTGTTTGCGAACTTTTCTGCTGAAATAACGGCTTTTCTTAAAGTACTAACTAATTTCAAGATTAAAGGAATTACTCATCAATTATTCTTTAATTTTGCCGTAATTTTATTTTTTTACATACATACATACATTATACATTTACAAAATCATGGATCATGTTTATAATGACCTCACTAGCTATTGTCATTTTTTAAATAATCTAGTCATTATTGAAAAATAATTATAAGATATACGTATGTATAAATAAATGAATGCCATTGTTTTTTATCCAAAATATTTATTTATTTCAAAGAGGCCAACTAAATACATAATAAAAGCTTACTATAAAAAAAACAACTATGAAATTAGATATAAAATAAACTTAAATGCGCAATTTAACAACAATGTTATGAAAGTAATTTAGCATTTTTTTAGTTTATTAAATTTGGGGAAAACATCTATTTTAAAAACATTATTATATAAATGCATAATCTGTTATAGTGGAGCCTTCAGACTGTAATTATTATTGCTTTGCTTTATGTTTCAAACAACTCTCAATTATTACTTTCTTCTTGAGATTGCCGTCTTCCAAAACCAGAGGAAAGCTAGGCAGGGTGCAATATACGACTCCAAGAACAGTATTAAGAGCATTATCTACATATAAATTATTCTCGCCTTCCGCGTCTCTCCTACTTGCGATATTACCGGGAACCAGGGCAGCTACCTTTTCTCCTATTAGGCTAATGTAACTCTGCGAGGTTTTCCATGCCGGTGTGTCGGCACAAAATAATCGAAATAACTTTCTCATACAAAATAATGTACTGTCTTTTATCCTTTTTAGTAATTTCTAATCATATAATAAAATATAATTTTTACTATTAATACTGTTTATTTCGCAAAGTTTTATTTAACGCAAATATGTCACCTAGGCAAAGTGTCTGATATAATGTTTCCGAGTAGAAATTTTATTGTGCGTAAATTTGGTTTTCCCACGATACAACAGCGAGTGGAAGGGAGCTTTGCAATTCTTTTGTTTGCATGTTAAGGTATTATTCACGTTTTGTTCGCGGCAAATCCCTCGTAAATATATTTTGAAGCGTATTTTATGCCGCTCCATGTACATAGACATATAGGTAACAAGTTAATCGCGTCAAACAACGTAAGACTATATTTCAAACAAACGACAGCAAAACGAAGACAATGTCTTCCTTCTTCAGCATTCTCAACTCTTACCTCTGAACTCCAGCGTCACGACCCTCTCGGCTTTGGATTTTATGATTTTAAAACGTTTCAAATACACCGTAAGCGACATTTTTACCAGAATTTATAAAACAAAAAACAACGCGAAATTTAAATTGTCTATGTTATAAAGAAAATTTGAAAAGGCAACATAACGCAAACACGACGCGCGGTCTGCCGCGCGAAAACTGTAAATTTATGGAACTTTTACGCGGTACGATCCGTCGGAGCTGTTTCGAACGTCCGGTCGCGTAGAGCGCTGGAGGTGGAATGAAGCTGGTTCTCCGGGCCGTGAGCTATATGAAGCTACCCTCAACGGCTGGGGTGTGGGTAGGGTGGCTTCTGGGGTTGGAGGTCCCGCACTAGCCGCGGTTCCTATGCGAATTTAAACGTGCTTTATTTCTATGGGCTTTACATTGTGGCTAATCGTAACAACATATTATGGTTTTGGTATTCGGGAGATCAGAAATACAAATTAAAATTCTAGTTACCTAGGACAATGACAGTTTCTCTGTATTACTGATCGATTTTAACACTTGGTGTTGATAAAAACGCGACTGTTAGTATTTTTTATTTAATTAATTTAAATGAAAAATAGTAACAGTAAAAAACATAGGTAAGTGAACTGTTGATTACAATTCGAAGACTCTACCTACTATTTATGCATATACCATTTAAAAAAGCACAAACTATAATACGTATGAAGATTTTAAATGAATAACACGAAAGTTTATGTAAAACTTATTGAAAAAAAAATAAAAAATCTCTCGAAAATTTTCGGACCGCAGTAGCCTAATTGGTAGAACAACAGCACGAAACAATTTGTCCATCGTAAATATGTCTATTTACTATCGATAATAAAGGATTTAATTGAGACTTCGCAAATTAAGAGCAAAACATAATAAAATACCTATTAAAAGAATTTTCAGTTTTACGTGTGAAAATATGTAGGAATAAAAAATTGTATTTGTTATTTCAAATAACAACGAAGTTGTGTCAATTGCACTAAGCCATTGCAAATGGGCGGTAATCGAATTAATATGGTGACAATGCATATCACTGGAAAATGTAAAAGCGAAGAATTATCTTTCACATATAACCATATCAGTATAAACTATGAAATAATCGCGAAAATTCCGGGTTTTACAGAAACAGAAAGCTGAATTTTTAATCTCAGATCTCTCATAGATACTGTAAAAACACTAGATGCAATGTGAAATACCCCAGCTCTATATAACAAGGTGCGCTGTCGCCCTATTTTGTCTTTGGATATTCGAAAATCCACATACTGAAACGGACACATTAATTTCATATCTTTTCATCTGTGGACAGTTGTTTGTGATTTGGACGCAATTTAGATATTCATACCACCCACATAATATCCAGAATTCCAGACGAAGGCCAACATGTTTCAGAAAAATTATAAATTGATAAAAAGAATGTTGGTCCCGGTGGGGATAGAAGTAACTATGCATTGATTATTAGCTATTCATTGCTACCATTAGACTACTGGGCCCGTTACATTAAAAATAACACTCGCTACTGAAAAAATCTACCCCGCTTAGATTTTTGTACCTACCTTAATGCGTTTGTGCGTATGTGTGAATTTGGCTCTATGATCATGTGAGCATTTTGGTTGTCAAAAAAATATATTGAAGCAAAACGCAGTCGTGTTGATTGACACCGTGTTTTATCTCAGAAGCAGAATATGTTGTTAATGTGTATATAATGTGTATTTTCTTAAATAAATATATAGGAAAATACGAAAACACATATAAATAGCGTGCTTCTTACTAATAGAATACATTTCGTTTCACCTTGACTCTGAACCCTCATTCTAACTAAAACTAAAATATAAATACGTCATAGATATTGTTCAACCCAAAGAACTCCATTCATACATATATAAACACACAATCTACGCCGATTACTCAGTTCCAAAATTGTGTACTAAAATATACAGAGAACTAACACCCTTATACCTGGTTCATAAGTATTAAATTATTGTACTTCGCGATCAATAACCCACGAGACGTGCCCAAAGCGCCCCCGCACGGTGTGCTGCGTCATTGAGCAAGATGCGCGGGCGCATCTGGTCACAAATACGAATATAAGTCACTGCGCGCTATACATAGCTACTCCGAAGCGCGACTGGCACGTATTTGTCTCATTAAACTGGAATTGGATATATCGTTATTGTTTTGTACGTGTTGAAAAGTGGTTGGATAAACTTGTATCCACTCTTGGTTCATTCCGACAAGGTTCGCTTCGATAACCGCACGCTTCATTGGTGATTTAACTTGTGAATTATAAATTGTATTTTCTCTATTCCAACATGCACGATTCAATTCGGAACCAGGTAAATAAGCAATTTATTTATATACAACGCACTCTTTGTCCAAAATATGCTGTGTCACATCTCGTGTTGCGATATTATTAATTTTTGAAGGTTATTTTTGTTATGTTTGTTTCTTTTTATTAACTATATTATGGTGCCGTACAATAGCAGGTACTTCGAAAAGTGTTTTCTAAAACCTTTAAAATTCGAACTAATTTGTCCAGATCGTTCACGTTAAAAAGTCGGTGGGAATATTCCATTTTTATTTATATTTAATTGGAATCAGATTCTGAGGACGAAAGTGGCTTAAATTGAATTTCGTAAAAACTGGTTTATCGGTACAAAAAGCCACGTTCTCATAGAAATAATTCTGAAAACTATTAATTATTATATCGTTGCTGGTGTAGTTAATAGGTATGCTTGCGTTTTGAAAAATCTTTGTACCTAATTGTCGTATGGGAGGTTATTTTCACATGTTCGGATTCTAAAAATCTATTTTAGATCGTAATGGATTGGACAACTGTTTCGATGACATGTGGAAACGTAACAGGATCATTGGATCACAGGAGTCCTTCCCATGACGTCAAATTTTTACAAAAATAATTTTTTTTAATTTATTATCACTGTAGCGAATGGTAGCAATATGTATTACTAGGGCTTATATCTGCTACTAGGTATATCCTAATGGCAAGATCGTTCGGAAGAATAGATAATATAGAGCTGTACTAGTTCTAACAGGAAATTTATTTTATTGAATACTAGCTGTGCCAGCGACTTTGTCCGCGTAGAATAGTTATTTTGGGTTTAGAAATTTGTTTTTTGATACCTCCCCTCATCTTTATAAATTATTGTTACCCACGACGTCGATCGCGTCACGTAGTTCTTGACATTTAGAAATATAATATTTATCATTATTCTTTCACAGTCGCAGTGTGATCTATTATAGCCTAAAGCTTTTCTCGATAAATGCTCCAACTAACACAAAATTTTACAATTTGAACCAGTAGTTCCTGAGATTAGCGCGTTCAAACAAACAAACTCTTCAGCTTTATAATATTAGTATAGATATAATCTAAAACATATATTGTAAAACCAGCTTTTTAAAAGACGAAGAAGTCATGTTATTTACTTTTTGTAGTTATTTTTCAATATAAAAGAAATATTTTATAATATTAGTGGTTTGCCGTTGGTAGGTACTTAAACGTTCGTAACTCATTATTGGAGATACCGGTATATTTCGATAGCATCAAAGTACTTTAACATGTCGTTATAAACACCCGCACCAAGATCTTTAAATATAATATAGCGGACGATATCGCGTTGCTAAGTTGGAACGGACACGTCATTTTTGCATTACACATAACGTTTCTTAAAGTCATCACGAAGATCGACGCAGCATCCGGTCATTTATATTAAACACTTATATTGGTTTGCAACGAGAATTTACAACAGCCGTGGTCATGGGGGAAATTTAAAACGAATTAACTGTAGGCACTTAAAAAGTTATAAAGATGAAGTGTCATCTAATGATTTTTATCTAACCGCAAAGATTTTGTCATATAAATTTAACTTTCCTTTTCACGTGCTTTAGGTAGAAATTTTTAAAAATGATATATGATCGGATGCTTACTTCATACAAATAATACGCCATCGGCCAACTAATGTTCTAGAATCTAGAGCCTGTGCGCTGATTCTGTCAGTTCTTTGTCTAGACTCTAGAACAAAGCGATTTATATGTGTGGATAAAATTATCATTCACAATTGTGACGTCAATCCCACAGATATTACTAAAACTCTATTATTTGTTATTCGATTCAATACGCGTAATATATTAGTAGTAAATATGAGACAAAAGTACAGCTAAGATTCGAAAGCGTAGCACTAAAAATTGTGTTAGCACAGAAACTTAAATAATTAAGTTGCAACAATCGTTTATTAAAAATCTTAAACATAAAATTAATTTAATGCATAGTAATGAAGTTAGCAAAGTATCAACTTCCTACTCCACGATATTATTATCAAATGACAAATAAGTGACCTCCATTACAATATAAATGTTTATGATTCCAAGCCTCGTTATACTTTAAACAAGAGTTAATTGGTTTATCAACCAGCGTTGCCCGCGGCTTTGCGCTTCGGTTTTCGATTCTCAAATTGTCTAAAACAATGAGTCGCGCACCAATTCTGGTCTTTACACTGCCTTTTTACTTTTGACTTTTAATAGAATACCTTCATCTAAATAAGTAACTCTATCTTTAAAAATGGCCTCTTTTGTTAGGTGGTCTAGTGAATTAATACATTTGAGTAAAATAGATATCTATCTATACTAATATATGCTGAAGAGTTTGTTTGTTTAAACGCGCTAATCTCGGCAACTACGGGTTCAAAAAATATGTACAAAAGAATGATTCCTCTTTAAATGATCTGAAAAAGTCCGCGACGCTATTTGTCTATCTTTCAAGATTAACTTGTAAGAACGACGGGAAGTGATTTAAGGCTTCAGTTTAAAAAGATAAAGGGGTTGGCGAAAACGAATTTGGATGTCCAAAATAAATATTCTTAGCGGACGAAGTCGCTGGCACAGCTAGTAACAGTATAATCGTAACGAGTTTGAAGAAACAGAATCTACTCACTGAATGCTCGTGCTTAAAATTCGGGCAAACACAACAATATAACAGAGGATAATATTAAATAATTAACGATGAAACAAATAATTAGATTCTTCAAAGAAAGCGGCAGATTTGAAGTGGACACAGTGTGACTTGGGTTACCGTCACCAAAAATGGGGAAATAGTTGTTAGCAGATAACAATAATATCCTTAATGATATAATCTTCTATAGAAAACAATATGATATTCATATTCTTTACTCTGGCTAAGAAAGAAAAATAAACAATAACAAAAAGTTACGACAAAGACAAAACCTTTGTATTATATTGTAGGTAATATTTTAAATAAGTAATCTAACTTGTATTATTGTTATATCGTTTTGAACAATAATTTTATCAGTTGTTTACTGTGTATACAAAGATAGTTGCCACGTTTGATTATCGTTTACAAGTTAAGTACTTTGTAATTATTATTTATTAAATTTTATAAATGCTTATTATTATTTTATAAATGCTTTTGAGTAAACGAATCATTGTTGAAAGCAAGTTAAATAGCTAATTTGTATTTACCAACTAGTGCACGAAATAAAGGCCTAAATATTAATACATATTTTTACTAGTAATGTTTGAATAAAACAATTATAACGATTAAAAACGCGAAATATATTCGTTTCGGATGCGCAACAGCAGGCTTAGTAACAGGGGAGTAAGCTATACGCTTAAAAATGTCTATTTGATGGTTAAAATAATTATTAGTTGATCATCGAAAAATAATAGCAATTATTTTTCGATGATCAACTAGTAATTATTTTATAATCAACTAATAATGCTATCTTTATATATGTATAATTACGTAGTGAAATCGGGTATATAGGGCATGGAACACGTTTTTTATGTCCCTGAGACTGAACGAGTCTATAAAGTAGGAAATAGGTTATCAAGGATCAATTTATAATTTTTATGAAACATGTTGGACTTTGATGGGAACCTGGATATTAAATAACGAAATTCCGACCGGGTGACGAACCATCGTCCACAGATGAAGAATCCGTAAAGTTTACGTTTCGATTTCAGTCTGTGGATTTCCGAATATCCAAAGTCAAAGGTTGACAGCTCATCTTGTTTAGCTGTTATATGGCTGGTGTGTATCACCGTCTATAAAGTGAACGTCATGTTTGTCTGTCCTCCTCTGATATAAAAAATCTCTTTTGCCCACATTGCTATAAATGTATTTAAAATATATGTGACACAATTTTTAAAACGATTCGCTAGGCACGTATTTTTTTGCTTACATAGGTGATCCAATGCACAGATGAAATGTATTGATAACGTTTGTAGAAATTGTTTGCATCATATTTGTCTATGTGTGTGTATGTTTGTTGAATAAGCACCAATTAAATCCTACGAGTGCGCCATAAATAGTTTTATCGTTATTTATATATATTATTATTAATACTGGCTTTCGCTCGAGGCTCTTTCTATCATAGTATCGGCACGGTATTAGGGTATCTTTTTCATTTTTAATATGTTACCTTTAATGGATTCGATATCGATATCGCTTCGAAATATAGCCTATGTTTTGCTTCAAGCTCAGCTTAATCTATAGACTCAACTGTGGTCACTGAAAAACATACGCACAGACATAAAAGTGTCAGTAACGCGACTTTCTGATATTCATACACTCAACTCACAACGATCTCAAAGTCACTTTTAGCAGCAAAAATGAAAAATCTTTAAAATACTACTACTGTCTGTAGTTTGCGCGAGTAGAACTAATTAAGATAAAACTTATTTTACGTGGAAATTCCACGCGAAATGTACGCTTTTCAACTTTGCAGCGGCCCTGGTCACGGGGGGACAGAAACATAGGGCTGTAGTTAAAATACATTGTAACAAATTAACTAATACATTTCATGTTAAAAACATTTCAAAGGTGTTTTATTTAAATCTTTAGGTAAGTCTCAAACCAGTGAAACTAAAGGTGCTGGTCGTCTATCTGAACTCTTGTAATTAGATATTTAATTTTGCAATTTTCACTATCTTCTTCCCCTTACCAAAAAAAACTTCCAGAAAGTACTATTTTCTGGCGACCATCTTAAAAGATATAAGACGCTAAAAATAAGTTTATTATATTCTTTGCAAGTACGCTTTTCAGTTTAAATGATAGAACGAATGTTCGCTCATCACACACGCGAAGGCGAGTACGGGCGTTCACGGAAGAGGTTATTTCCGGTCTCGTCTTGGCAAACTATGTGTAGTTAGCCTTTGATTGTAGTAGGACGAGAATGTCTCTGTTCTCGTCTTACATTTTTTTCGAAAGCCGGTATTTAAACAAATATGAAATAGTTTTAGAGTTTTATACAGACGTGTGGATTTTTTAAAATTTATTTTAATAATAATATTTATCAAACATATCCAACTGATATGTCTCTCACATGTAATGTTATCTATAGTTAGATGACATCTCTTGTGTTGCTAACTTGTAAAGAATAGATAAAGCACACTACCTGATTTAAACTTGATCTTTGGAATAATATTTATTATGCGAATATTATTTTTCTTGTATTTATATTATATATTATAAGATTAAGCAACATCGTTGAATTTATCTATACTTATATATAAAGCTGAAAAGTGTGCAAACAAACTCTTAAGCTTATTTTTTGTACAAGTACTGCTAGACAGTAATTCGTATAGTCTCATCCACGAGTATTTGTTGTTACTATGGTATCATATCTCTTGGAAAACGTGTTTTGCAAACATAATCGGAAAACAATAAACCGGACTGATTTTTTTGCCACCTATTCCTAGTAAACGGCACGTCCTTATAATCCCGTAAGCTGTTTATATTTCATCTATATTGTTGTACAGAGAATTTTACGGATCATTATATACTGAGAAATATAAAAATAGATAAGCTACGTAAAATTGTTTCTGAAGATAGTTCATAGCTGTACCTAGTTTTAGCGCGTAAGGGTCGTAAATCTTTTTTATTTTATATGATTACTAGATGTGCCAGCGACTTTCTCCGCGAGAATCGTTATTTTCTGCATCCAAATTCGTTTTTGCAATCACCTCCATCGTCTTTATAAACTTAAGTTACCCACGATGTCGGTCGCGTCCCTTCCCGCCGCTCTTGCCTCTTCTTATCTTAAAATATAGATAGACATATAGCGTCGAGAAATTTTTTTAGATCATTTAAAGAGGAATCATTCTTTAAAACATAATTTTTCATTATCCTGAACCATTTTTGCAGCGTACGCCTCGGAAACCCGTAACGATGGTTAATTTTCCAATTTTTTGTCACATTTCTCACTCTATCTTCGCTCTTATTAGTCACAGCGAGATGTTTTATATTCTATAGCCTTCCTCAATAAATGTTCTAACTAACACAAAAAGATTTTTCCATTCGAGCCCGTAGTTCTTGAGATTATCGTGTTCAAACAGACAAACAAACAAACTCTTCAGCTTTATATATTAGTATAGATAAAAATAAATATGTCATTTTATTGCAACATTTCTATGCATATTTCGATACTAACCTAGCGTTTAATTAATAGCAGACAATATACAATCTTGTTATACTCAAATCAAGGTTATGAAGTATTGAATACATGTAAAAAGCTACTCTAATTTGAGTCCTATAATAAACATTAACCCATCGGGAGGCGCAATATTTTAAACACTTAAAAATAGCTGCACTATCTTTGAGGGGGGGCTTTAGATACAAATATATCTTTATAATCGTATTTGACTGCAGCTCTCTCTAAAGCCCCTTTTATCTTCGTCTAATTAGTCACTTAGACCAAAGATTGACATTAATTTTTGACAGTTATTTCAACTCGCGTTAGACAATGTACGTTGTTCTGCCAGTACTCTACCATGGCGTCCCGTTTAAATACTTAATACTTAATTTTTACTAATTATAAGCTAATATATTAAATTGCTAAGAGCACTTGAAAAAATCTATAATGATTTTTTTCTAACACGTGTGCTGAAAATTCGATTTTAGATTGAAACAATTTTACGACACGGGCACGACTTATACCGGCATCCACAACGTTTCGTTTTGTTGCTCTAACCAATTGAGCTAAGCTATCATAGAATTATTTCAATCTCAAATATATTTTTAACTTATGTAATGCTATCATATGCAATGACTATTAAAAAATATTAAAGTTTTCAAAGATTATGGTTCTTAATATGTCATCCATGTGTTTTCAGTTCGACAGAGACGGTTACGTGGTGCTGGAGGATTTTCTTCGGCCAGCGGAGTGCGATGAACTTGCATCTGCAGGTATCGAGTTGACAAAACAAATCCAGGATAGCTCTCAGCGATCAGTTTTCTCGGCTAGTTCCGAAAATCCGGTACGTAGAGATGTGACATTTGTCGTGAAGAGCAACAGTAAGTGCATGCATGCTATGTTATATATATTGTATTGGATATGTGTGAGTCAAAATTAAAATACATAATAACTTTACAAAAAGACTGACGTTACAAAACCTGGCAAAGTCAAATGTAACTTACTTTAAAATTTCACATTTGTTAAATATAAGCAATAGTTATACTTATCCATATGCAATAAAACAAAAAAAAAAAGATTTAATTACTTAATTATTTTTCATAAAACTTGGCTCTGCTTTAGATCTCCATTCTTTTTACGGCGATGCCAAGTTTTTTTAACTTGATTCTCCTTTCTGCTGTTTATGTTTTTAGTAAGATATTCAAAAAAACGTAATTACCTGAAATTCTAAAAAACTATTTTTGATTTTCAAATAATTAAACACCATGTAAAGAGTAACGAGACTGGTAAAACTAACAAATTAAGTACCAAAATTAACCAAAAAAAGATACGGACAGTAGTCTGTGGAATTTGTTCTTATATAAAAAATAAACTTGCGTTCCTGTCATCGTGTCGAATTAAAGTTGTCATAGTTTTAGGGAGTGATTACATCACTGATCTATTGTATTTTTAACGTACAGTTCTTTAAAATTTAAATTTTTGACATAAGACACCTTTAATGATGACTATATATAGACAGTAATGACTATATACGATAGACGTCAAATTTATTTTTTTATGTACATTTGCCCACTCGTACGAAGACGTTCTTTAAGACAGGGTCAAATCTAATATACTAGTATACAGTACACTAATATACTGATTTCATTTGACTGTTTTTCGAAAACACACTCTTTAAACTTGAGAATTGTCCGTAATAACAAATTTTGTTTATAAGGTGGGAAAGGTATTACTCCAAGAATATGTAATATAAATAAATAAAAAGCTAAACATCGTTCTCGTTGCGGACTGAAATACCAAGTTTCTTTAAGTAATCCTTTTTCAGAATTTTGCTTGAAGATTTTCTAGAAATTAAACATAAGCCGCTTATTACAGATTATCCTTTAATAGGAACTATAACAATATCATAAAAAATCGTGAAAAATAATTTCTAGAAGAGATTTGTTGAACAAAATAAGCAAATTCATATTCTTATAATTGAGTATTGTTAATAAATTGCTTAGACTTTTGCTTTCTTTGTCTTTAAAATACACGTGTTTTTCAGACGATTAATTAATCATAATTAAATGAGTACATACTAATTAAAACTATAATCATTAAATGACTTCTGCTTTCGAAGACGTCAGTTCGGGTATTGAACTTATTTTTTTAATTTGCATTCTAACACTTCGATTTTGTGGAAGAAAATGCTTCGAGTTTTTCTCAACACACAACTTGTACAGCCTAGTATTTTAAGACCCTTATATGAAAGGCTGTGAAAGTGGAAGAAGTGGAAGTTACAGCTGTGTGCTTTACACAACATTCGTATTTAAAATTCGCAAAGGTTTCTGTCGACAAATGTATAAATGCAATAAGGCGTTACATCAAACAGAATGTGTAACGTGGGACTCCTTTACAACGCATTAAATATGATGTTGACAATATATTTATAGTTACTGTATTTACCTACGAAAACTCACTCACTTAAACTCTATTTTCCAGGCTGTGAAGGATAAATATTTTATCGAAAGCAACGATAAGATTAGATATTTCTTCGAAGAGAATGCCCTAACCGAGACCGGAGAACTGAAAGTAGACCCTTCAATTTCTCTCAACAAGGTAAGCTGTCTGAGCTTACGATAATCAGCTTATTGTATCGGGTACCAGCTCACGCAATTGATTCAAAGAGAAATGTACCGCGATATACACTCGACCGGCTATGATTTTGAAATGCAATATTCAGTGTAATAAAACAAAGCTTCATAAATAATATTCTATGATTGTGTCCTACCCCTTCGCATACCGCTTTCCTTTACGGGATATGGGGCGAAAGCATTTCTTGGTCTCCCTCATTGTTTTCTGAGTATTGTTGTCACTTGAGAATTCTTGTGTCCTACTGCCACAAAAATGCTCTATCTTATATTTTACTCAATGTTAATAAAAGAATAAAAAGTGTATTAAATCTTAGTTACTAGTCCTTTCAAGGTATATTCTTTTTTTTTACTTAATGTTTTACAATAAAGCATACTTAATAAACATCTGTCAGGCTGTGTAAATTTCGATAGTGTAAATAAAAACTGCAAATTTTCTTAAGATTTCATGTGTGGTCTGCTAAATTGAATGTATGTTACGTGTAAAGCAAAAAAAATAAAATAATTGCCAGACTTATTTAATAGACGGCAATACTTATTTTTCTTATAACGACGTGACTAAGTCAAGCATTTTACTTAATAAAATATACTGAAGAACTAACAAGCAGAAATTTCACTCCCTTGAAACGTAACTCAGACGTTAGGTAGAGTAGCGTTCACTGTACAATTGTGCAACTTGTATAACTATTAATGTGTTATGAAATATAGCAGTTGACATTCAAAGCAAATAAAGTTCCTTTATCTTCATATCTTCAAAACCACATTTTACTAGATTCTAGGGGATAAGCTCACCGCACAACAAGTTTGTAGAGTCAGGCTTATAGAAGAGATATTGCTAATGTCGAAATCTTAATCGAAGCTTACGGTAGGGAATAGGGTGGGGAGGGGTTTGTAACGTAGCCAATGCTTTGTTAAGTAAAAAAGTTATCTAGAATATTATTAGCAACCTCAAGAGTTTGTTTTTTTGTTTAAGCATGCTAATCTCAGCTATTACCAGTTTGAATTGAAAAAAACATGTTTTGTTGGTCGGACCATTTATCGAGGAAAGCTTTAGTCTATAAAAATAAGTATGCCACCAATAGGAGCGAAAAAACAAAGGAAAGGTTGCGTGCGCTATTATAAAGAATTGTTCTTATTTAAATGAATTAAAAAAGAAAGAAGTTAAAAATCATTTTCAATAAGTTTAACTAATGTATCGCGTTTTAAACCGTTAAAATGTTTTATTTAAATATTTATAAGATAGTGCGTAAGATTTTTCCTCATTAATATTTATTTACTGTGGTGTGTTTTAGTGGTGTAAGTAATAAAGCAATAATATCTCACGCGGCAGAAGTCGCGGGCACGGCTACTGTAATAGTTCTAAAACATATAATGAATGATTGGAATGATTTTAGTTTTCCTTTTATTACGTAGGTTGGTCACGCTTTGCATCTCCTTCATCCGATCTTCAGATGTTACACGTACAGCGACCGTGTCAAGGCTGTGTGCCAACAACTCGGCTTCAAGGAACCAGCTGTTGTACAGAGCATGTATATTTACAAAAATCCCGGAATCGGTGGCGAAGGTTAGATTCCCTAATATAAGATTAATTAATACGTAAGTGTTAAGGTTGAAATTACATTGCGCGTTCAAGTCCCTTCCCGTGTCGTTTTTTTTTTTCAAAAATTAATTTTCCCTCTTAATTATTAATATTGTTTATATAAATTTCAACCACGTATAGTTATGTGGTTAATGTTGTCTAGCATGTGTATAGCGTGAGAGATCGATTCTTTCGGTCGGACACAGAAGTTTGTTCAACTACTTCTCAGTAGAACAGCTATCAGTGAAACGAACACACACATTGGCATTAGGTATTATGGAATCAGTGAACTAAGTACCAAGCGGACATATTTTTCTATGACAAGCGCGTGGTTCTTGTTGGAAGATGAAATATCCCAGATGTACAACATCTCTATAACATCCGCTGTTGACTCATCTTGGTTTTGAATGCACAAACCGAAACCGCACCGCGATTAAACTTGGCGGCCCTTTCATCTGGGGACGGTTATTCGTGACCCGGGCAGAGTTGACCCTACCTACGACGCATTTGGTAACGACTTTTTAGACGAAGTGCAACATGTAAAAAAATATATAAATTGATTAGAAAAACGCTGGACTCGGCGGAGTTGATTATTACTAACCATACAGCCCAGCGCATTTTATCTATTCAAATTTTAATGCATTTTCTCTTTACAGTAAAACCACACCAAGACATAACGTACTTGCATACAGAGCCAATACCACCTGTCGGTTTCTGGATAGCTCTGCAAGATGCGACCTTACAAAATGGCTGCCTCTGGATGTCGCCTGGTTCTCACAAATCGGGCGTTCATAGGCGGATGCAGAAGAACGAAGAGGGTATTCTTGATTATGATCGGCCTGCGCCTATCTACCCACAATCTAGCTTTACAGCGGTACCCGTTAGCAAAGGTAATGTTCTAAGACATTCGTACCATTAATTGAAAATAGTGTAAAGTGCGCTAACGTCGTACTTTTTACTTTGACATTAGAGACACCCTCCATCTTTAGTCGCCCCGTCACCACGGCTGCTGCAAAACATCCGAAACGTCGGGCTGTAGTTAAAATTATCTCCAAATAAGTTTAACTAATATATATCGCGTTTTAAACGGTGTTTCATTTAAATCGATTTTTTGTTTATGACATGGACGAGACTTGAATCGGCATCCACAGCATTCGTTTTGCTCTAACAAATTGTGTTACGGTCATCCGAATTGTTAGAACAGCACCTTCGAGTCCCGCCTGTGCCATAAAAAAATATATATTTTCGAAAAATATAATCATAACTTATCTCTTGTTTACAGGTACCTGTATCCTTATACACGGAAACGTCGTTCACAAAAGTGCACATAACAGCTCAGATAAGAGTAGACACGCCTACACTTTTCACATAATTGAGAAAAAAGACAACAAATTCTCCACCGATAATTGGCTAGCAGAAGGCAAGGGTGCGCCCTTCGTTAATCTTTACACGACATCTCAAATGATAGACCAAGAGTAGATAGATTTGTATGTAGGTCTGTAATGTTCAATTCGAATTAAAGGTGATCGCAGATTTATCAGCATTGCATTTTTTTAAATTCGTCGCACGTGGTCCTAAAAAATTTTAACGCACGAGCATTCGAGCATTTTACATCGTTGTATACAACGTATTCTAAAACATGGCTCATTCGAGAGCTGATGAATATGCTGTTACCTTAAGCGTTTCTACCATTAATGACATTATGCTCCACCTTCCTACTTGCAACATAAATCAAATTAGGCGCATTTCCTGTCTGTCATTTCATTACAGACACACTTATCATAGAGTAGATTCAATTCAAATTAAGAACGACTTTTGTCTGTAGTTTAAGCGAGTAAAACAAATACTTTAAAAAGGTCGCATTTTAAACTATTTAAGGACTTAACCTTAAGAACTATGTTCATTCAAATAGCAAATGGCCGGGACGTCGATCTTCATTTATACACCAAAGTATTATTAGTTGTAAATTAATGTTCATTTGAAGTCACCGATTAAAAAAAAACGGTGCTCAGCCAGAATTTTTACACTTCATGTCCATTTTACCAGCTGGGCCATTGCTAGCCCAGTCCCACGTGTGGGAATTGATGTAAAAGTTTAAAAGGTGATCCTTGCCGAACGCGATTCAAGATTGCCTGTAAGGATTAGTTTCATTTTTATGTAAGAAGCTTGCCATACTTGTAACGAGTTTTCTTATTAATCTAAACTCAACTTTACGTTGGAAATTTCTCGCAATCTTCCAGGATTGCGGTAGTAGAGCAGCTACGCTAAACCAAAAATATAAAGCAATTTCGCACCAGAAGCCTCTTTGAGTTTCTATTAAGGTAGGGAATTTTTATCGTGATAATATATGTTTATATATGCATATCGTAGGGTAGCGAGACGAATATATTTTTTTAAATATGTAAATTACTCTTAAAATTCGAACGAAGTGTAACAATAGTACAATCTGTGTACAAAGTGTTTTTTTAACTTTAAATACCGAATACATTAAGTGTTATAAGATATAGTATGCCTTTGAAGATTCACTTTTATTTCCCTTTTTTTTCATTATTCATTATTGTTTAATCAAAAATGTTATAACATACGTACTATGTTATATGTTTAAGCACTGCGTTGCAACGTTCATTGTGATAATTTTATTAATGAATAAAAACTTATTTTGTCATTCATTTGTTTCATTCTTTTTATTGAATCTTTCGATTATAAAATTTGATTTTTCATAAACGGTTAAGACCTCCGTTTTATAAGTAAAACAAAACATAAAAACCAACAAATATAATAAGATTAAAGACGCAACAGTTTCGATAAGAGAGGATCTGTATCTAGACAGGATATTGTTATACTTTTAAAGATTTTAAAGTGCATCACAGGCCTCATATTTCACTTTCATTTGTTTTTTAGACCGTTTTGATTTAGGAATAAAAAAAATCTTTGTTCTAAAACGTAATCCCGTCTTCAAATCAATCTTACTACTCAAAGGCTTGTTTGAAGAAACTCCATAGCGTGATTTGTTTGTGAATATAGTCAAGGATATAAGGATACAAGATGCATTAAGCCGTGAGAGGTTTTGTGTGATTTAGTTACTATAGGTAACAAGATGGACAAGCATATTGGTTACACTAATGCACCCGCATTAGATGGACTTTGTCGAGTATACCTATGTATAATTGCCAATTCCCAATAAATTAGGGCCACCATATATTCTATAGATAGTTAAAACCTAATTTAGATCAGATATGTCAAATATAAATTACCCATTTAACGGACCATTTTAATATTTTTTACAATAGAGGAAAGGGATGGGTTTTAGTTCATCGTAGGTGATACATCCCATCTTATAACATCTCTCATATGTGCTGTAGACTTATTTTGACTTTACATACTCGGAAAACTATAGTTTGATATCGAACAGCACATTTTTCACTTTGAATGGTGGTTTGTGACTCGGATGGACGTACATCAACCAATTTTGGTGGGAATCAAACTCACGAACCGTTATTTATTGACCATACATAGCTACTATATAACCAACAAGACTGTCAATCAATGTCTGAAATATAATGAATTTAAATCTGGGTTTTAAATACGTAATAACAGTGATGTTTGTTTTAACAGTGTATTCTTACGTAGGGCATAGAAAGCAAACACATCTGTGTCCGACTCACTGATGGTTATTTGATTTAAAAAATTTTTGGCCCCTGCTCAACCCAAGTAATTCTAGTCATGAATATATTATTCTTGAAAAAGGTTTATGAAACGTTAACGTATTATAATGTATGATAAAAAAAGTTATATTTCATGTTTTAAACCGTTAAAAGTGTTTTATTTAAATAAAGGAGTCATTTAAAGTCGTGATAGTTACTTTTCGTTCATAATTAAGTCATTAGTATTATAACAACAATGTGTTATTTGATAACTGAATAATGTCGGTTTGTTCCGATACTATTACTAATGTCCCGCCACTTTACTTCTCTTTAAAGAATTGATATAACGATATGATATAATATTAATATATAAGTATACATGTTTGTTAGTTATCAGGATATTAAATAAGAACAAAACGGTTTATGACTTATTCTCGGCGCGGGAGGGGGGAGGGGAGGGTTGCTAAAATATAGCCTTATGTCAATATCCTTCTACTTATAATAAACCATGTGTCTTTGCAACTAAATATACAATAAATGATTCTTTATAAGCCACAAAAAACATGACGCACTGAATAATTTTCTTTTCCAGTTCCAATTTCGTTTTCCAAACTTACTAATTTATTTTCAACAAACAAAAATTTTCTCTGCTATAACAATTTGTTAATATTACACCTATTTTTAATATATTTAGGACATTGAACTATAGTTTGAACAATCTCATTGCCACATGATATCCGATAAAAAAATATTCGGAAAAGACCGTTGGACGTACTTGATAAGAGAATAAAATATTTACAATGCATGCACTGACCGCTTATTTTTTAATGGCTTTGAGTTTTCTGGTATGTGGGGTATACAAAATGATATCCCGTTTTCCCAATAAGGTGGACATGCTTCTGTGTCAATTTGAGTGAACGCTTCTTTTACAGGCAAGTAGTTGATCCGACTTCTGTCCCCTGTCCGACCGAACAACTCCATTGTTCCCTGAGTTCGAATCCAGGATCTCTCGCTCTCATCGCAATGCTAGGCAACTCGATTGATCATTTGGCTACAGAGCCAATAAAATAGGCGGCAGATTTACATGCGTCTGTATCAAGATTTTTAAATTTTTAAATACAGGCCAATATTTGTGTTTTCCCGAGATTCGAACTTCGTCTTCCAACTCAGTCAGTCAACTATTGCTCCACGGAGTCGATCATCACCGAATTAGATAAGTATAGAGTACAGACAATAGATTAATTCATACTGCTCGATAAAAACGTTGCATCCAACTTTAAAATGAGATAGCTATTTTCGGCTTAGATCGCTGTCTTTGTCACACTATCATGACTAAGTAGAATTGAGTTTTGAATATAAATTGTAGTAAACAAAGAACTTTTGAACATGATTCGTTTGAAAAATTTAGATCTATATATATGTACATAGTCGGCTGAAGTAAATGGTGCTTGGTTTATTGATTTCCAAATCACTGGCAAATATTTAACCCTAAAAAATAGTAAAAAAGTTGTTTGGATTTCAATAAAATATTATCCATACAGGGCGATCACTGAGTTGTGCGGAGGTCGTAGTTTAGATATGGTAGATATGAGGGGGCGTTCACTCTTTCAAAGGAAGTATATCAGTAGAAGTCCAGCAGCCGTTTGAACAGCACATTAAAATGCATCTCAGGCTGCACCTCATTTTGGTACTCGTCGTCTGTTTGCAATGTGAGTAGCACAACACGAATTTATACCAAATAAGCTGATATGCGAAGTTGCGTTGACCATTTGCATGTACATGTACAGCGGTAGTAGTAAACATTAAACAAAATACTATTAACGGTTTAAAACGCGAAATATATTAATCAATTTACTTCCGGATAGTTTACAGCAGCCGTGGTGACGTGGGAATCTATGTACATTACATTGTGATGTATAATACGCTTCTGTTAGAAAAATTCAGAGGTGTTCGGAAACTAACTGAACAACTTACTTTTAAAAAGAACAATTTAAGAAATTCTGTTTAGAATTAATTAACTATAACAATACGGTCAGAAACGTTGAAAGATCACATCTTAACAGTTCAATTTATTCGTTTACAATTGTTGCAACATTGAATATTGGAAACAGAAGAAATAGGCGATGAATAAACTAATTAGTAAATTACAATAAAATTTCGGAACCAAACCCGGAGCCCCCAATTGTGGCTTGCCTGTACTAGATACACGTGTTATGGTAAGGTACATCTAACGCTGTGGGTTTGAGTCCAGTTTGCGACAAATTCATATATACCACTTTTTTAATATTTTTTTTTTCAATATAAGCCCCTACAGATCCTAAATATATTTATGGTCTCTTTTAAGATTTTAAAATGCCAAATGCAAGAACTAGTCGTAATGTTGACCTAGACAGCGCATTCTGTTAATTTGTTCTGTATGCTAATTGAAATGTATGTGTTCTCTACCTATACGAAAAGGTACTCGTAAAAAGTTCGCTATATGTATTAGAAAAAGTATGATACTTATATTATAAGCAAGTTTGTATGTAACGTACATATACCATATTTTTTCAATTTCGCATATTAATTTATCAGTTATCTATCATTATTGGACTACAAATAATGTCTATTTCAAAATGTCGAGTCAGCTAGTCTTATAATATTAATAAGTTAAATAAGACCAGTAAGTAAGTACTGTAGTTTACGCGAGTAGTACACATTGAAATAAAACGCTTTAACGGTTTAAAACGCGATATATATTAGTTAAACTTGGGAGACCCCGTGGCCTTGACCACGGCTGCTGCAAAGCATCCGAACCGTCGGGCCGTAGTTAAAAATAAATTTCTAATAAATTTAACTAATATATATCGCGTTTTAAACCGTTAAAGTGTTTTATTTCAATGTGTACTACTCGCGTAAACTACAGTATTGAATATTAATAATTCGAATATCTATAGGGGAAACACAGGCCTGTGAGCCGAACCAAACTCAAAACGGCTGCAAAATCTACGGCACCTCATGCACGTGTGGTTATGGATGCAAAACTGAATACATTTACAAGACAAGAAGGGCTTGCTTGAACGCGCTTCGAGGTACGTCTCTTAGCAATTATGTAAATTTCAGAAACGGACGCAGAAATGCATTATGGGAGTGTCACCAACAATATAATTAGTCGCAAAGCTTGTCGCTTCTAACTTACATGTAGCCGTTTGAGAAATTAGCGTGTATTAAACAATTAGGACTGTTAGAAGCTAAATTAAAAATCAATTAAAAATTTAAATAAAACACAACTCGGACATGATTTGAACTGGCATCCACCGCGGTCCGTGCTGCTGCTCTAACAAATTAAGCTACCGAGTCCTACATGTCGTCGTAGATTTTTTTTACCTATTGATACATGCACCTCTCGCATAATATAATTTCAATATTGAAAAGAGCTTTGAAGCAAAGTCGTAGAAGTTGTCAATTTTTTCAATTTATAATCGATTTTTAATTTATATAGTGCCAGCATATGCAATAACATGTGAAAAATATTAAAGTTTTCAAACTGTTACAGTTATCAATGTCCCCGTAGCGCAGAACAGCTCTTAATATGTGCTAATAAAGCTTAAATCTACTTTGCTGCTTCGGAGCAGTTGGTAATTTAGTAATGATAATCGGGAACGACGGCATAACAAACACTTCGTGTCCCATTTCGTAATACTGGTTCAATAAGTTTTTTTAATGGATTGTAAAAACAAATGAAATAAAAAAGAACATATTATAAAAAATATTAAAATTTAAACATTTATTGAAATATGATTGGGTGCTATTTTTTGTTTTACTAGTAAACACTGCGCTGCGTGTTTATTTGGAGTATGAAAGAAGCTCTTTATCAGTGTAAAATTAATACTGCATGTCCCTAAATAAATATGAATCGGACAAAATTGCTGTCATCTGTTTGCGTGCAGTATAAAAGCAATACGAAATCTCGTTTACTGTGCTTTCATTTCACTGAGTATTATTTATTAAAAAGTAATATTAATTTTGCTCGGAGTCTCTATGAAACGATAAATGTCGCTTCGTATTCACATCTTTACGTGCTTTCAATACTCAATACTACTGGCATTTAGTGAAATAATAAATGGTAATTATAAGCTGATTTAATGATAATGATGATTTAACATGGGGAACTTACTTATCTACTTGGCTTGCGTAAAAATAAAATCTGTCTGTAAAACGGATTGACGAGTGTTACCAAGTTACCATGTTGATTCATGACCATGCGTATCAAGAACTATTGGTTCGAATTGAAAAAAAAAATGTGTTGGACGGACCAATTATTGCGAAAAGTTGTACACTATATAACAATATCTAAAATAATATACAACACTGCAAGTAGTGGAGAATGTGAAAATCTTTAACGGCTTCCGTTACGTGCGTTGTGAAAACGGTTCAAGAAACCAAAAGAATATGAATGAATTATTTCATTTTCCTCTTTGTCTAGAAAAAATGATCCCAATAGTGTCTATATTAGTAATATAATAGTATGTAATAGTCTAGCTTTTTAGGTTAACTCGCAAGATCCGTTTTTATGGTAATCAAATTTAAAGTTAAACATTTGTTAGAGTCGTATCAACATAATATTAAACTTAGTTGAAGTTCATCTATACTATGCAGTTACTGAAATGTATTGTCCACTTTGTACACCATCGTTAGATAACGCATTTATTCGTTGCATTGCAAATTGCAACATATTGAGGTGCAAAACGCCGGATGCGATATTATAAATTTGACCCAGTTAGTTGTAATCGTTTGCAAGATTGACCTATATTGCAAAACTGGACTGATAAACCTAGACCAATTGTGTGCAATTACACTGTAGGTAGCTAGATTCGGATTCGCTTTTGTGTGTTGTCAAACAGCTTTACAATGAGAGCCCTTTTTCGTTTCTTTTTTGTTCTTTCAGTCGAATAATCAATAAATATTTGCATAGCAACGAATAAACAAACCTGTGGAATTTTTATTTCATATTTGCTATGGAGTCTGTTCTACGCTTCACGCTTAAAATATCTTTATAAAAAGTTAAATTTAGATTGAAAAATGTCATGATGACATGATATTGTGTGAAAATAGAAAGTTTTTAAACAATATATTATAATTAGTTATAGCTTTGTAATTTTTTTAAGCGTACAAAATTATACTATATTTCCTATAAACATTTTGTCTTATTCTCACATTATAAGTATAAATAAGAAAAAAAGTACAAAATGCCCCAGCTAAACCATCTCAATGCTTAGAAGTTATCTGTGGAAACTGTGTCTATGGTTCTTTTAATATTAAAAAAATATATATGTTTAAAAAAAGAATGCAATTTAAAAGAATACCTTTAACAACAGAGAGAAGTTCAAACGTCTGCGTGCGAATGCCGTGTTTACGAGGGATATGCATACAGACTACGCAAGACCCAGGTTTTACTTGCAAATGTGAAGGTACCGGGTTCTATGGCCAGAGATGTGAAAAAGGTAAACGTTTTTCATTACTTGTACTAGATCGATTTTAATAATGTAATTGTGGAGATATACAATAAATATTATAGACATAGAAGTTATATTTAAAATAACTTTTACGTAAAAAAAGTTATAAAGATTGAATAAACATGACTTTTCAAATGTCTGTAAAATATAAATTTCCCTTATTTATTTAAAACAGACATTGTACTACTTCCATTTCACTGGATATCGGCTGTCTTATTTGATGGATGCATTTTTATACTGCCCCAAAATTTAAACTCGCGACAAAAAGACAATCACGTGATAAGATTATATTACTTTTTTTGATTGCGAAGAAACATATTTGAAAAATTTCCCCTTTGTGTAGGATGAACCATGCACCATACATATGCAAAATTATCCTTCCTAAATTTGTTCCTCACCGGACTAAAAGTATATGATGATTCACTAGCTTGTGAAAAACGTAAACTAACTAATTATTTTTATTTTTGACTAGACATGTATTTAATACAATAATATTTGTTTTTATGTTTCAGCATGTCCAACTGATCAATCAAGAGGCTTGGTATTTCCACACGAATGTATCGTTATTTAAAACTTTGTTCACGATTAGCAGTAGACGCTAGATAAAGAAATTTAGTATTTATTCACATTCATTGTTTGTATTGTACCTACTGTCTACATTATTATGTAAAATGCCTGTAAAAGACGCGAAAATAAAGAAAATATTATTACTATAGCTTTTTATTGCCACGTTATAGTAAATGTCCTTCTGCACACTTCATATAAAGAGAGTCGATAAGCTATGATCGCCGTAGCTCGTTTGTTGGCGGAATTATATATTGGGGAACGAAGGTTTTTAATAAATAATATAAAACAATGGTTTTCGTAAAATATATTGGTTAATAATGGATCCATGAGATTCATTTTAAGTGTACCTGTTTATTCAACAATATAATATGAGGCTGCTAGAGGCATAATGGCTTACTTAATATAAAAAAAATATTTTGTATTATGGAGGAAAATAAAAATGTGCAATTACTTAGGCGAAAATGAATTTGTATTATTATTTTTGTACAAAATATGTTAACAATTTTCGGTCACTGTGCTCTTGTCAATTAACATTTTAAGACTATAAAAATATAAATAAGTCATAAAATCTTTCTGCCTCTAGCGGCATCTTAAAGATAATATTTAAATTAGTACTTTCTAGTTATACTATAATTAAATTGTATTTTTACTTGTGGCTTGTATTTCCGCCGTTTTGTTTTGTACCACAGATATAAACTAGCTCAATGAGGAGCATAGATTATAAAACATAAGATTTAGTCACAGACGTATGTCACTCTTAATAATATGTTTGTGGATATTTTTGTAATACTTACATTTTCTTTTATTTCAATATGATTTTAAAAATTAGTTGAAATTATAGCGTTTTTAATATCGTTAAAACGCAAGTAAACATTGAGTCACTATTAGACTATAAGGTAATAAAAATAGGAAAAAAACTTTTCAAGTTAAACGGTTTTATGTTAAACATACATTGCAATATTTAAGATAAATGTGCTAAAAACCAAAAAATAATAAAATAGATACAGTCGTGGAAATTATAAACATACGCATAGACTAGATTAAAATAAAACCGTGGGGCACGTCAATTGTCTTATAATGATAATGAATAAACATAATTGTATTGTCACCAAAATCCAAAGTGTATACAAAATTTCAGATTAATTGGTTGACAGGAAGAGGGTGAAATTTGAATTACTAAATTTGACTACAGAATAAATAATAAATAAAACAAACGGGGTGAGCTAAATAAAACCATTTAAAAACATAGACTATATCGCAAATGTCTAATAGGCATAGACTGCAATAATTAAATGAGTATGTAATGACGTTTGTTAACAAAGATAATGTTTTTAACTTTTTGTTAGTTTTTGTTAAAACAAAGAAAAATATGATATTTTGATCGATAAAGCTAGCTCAAATTCCAACTACTATCACCTATATTAAATATCTATGAATTATTTTTTACTTTGACATGGTACCTTTTGAAGTAAGCAATACTTAATTAATTATGAATTATGCTTAAGTAAAAGTAACACATAGTGTCCGCACTTAGCGTTTTCAATACTGTTTACAAATGCGGGGCTTATTATTGCCGACGTAGTCGTTTGTGCTCAATTGTATTTCGTTGTTTTTCATTTGTTCACTTGTTACTGTGACGTTGACGGCTTCGTTCTTCTAATTTAAAAACAAAAGGTGAGTTTCAAGAATTTTACGTAATTAAATTATAGACTTATTTTATTTATTAATTTACTCATATATATGGAAAAGCTCTTATTATATTTGCTTTCTGTCTTTTACTAATTTAAATTATATTTGATAATTAGGACAAAGGTGAACATAGATTTTACATAATATAATCTTTTTGTTGATATTTATTTAGTTACATTAAACATATTGTACAAGTCAATAGTGTTATAAAAATACTGACTGTCTTTTTAAGCAATATTACAATATTTAAATAAAACACACGGGGAGACCCCGTGACCACTGCTGCTGCAAAGCATCCGAAACGTCGGGCCGAAGTTAAAAATCATTTCCAAATAAGTTTAACTAATATATCGCGTTTGAAACCGTTAAAGTGTTTTATTTAAATGTGTACTACTCGCGTAAACTATAGACAGTATTTAAAATTACAATACTTACAATAATTTGTATTTCAGCTACAAAATGGAGTTTACGAGATATCATAAGTTTTTAGCATTAATGATGGTAGTAACTGGTTCAATTAATACACTAAGTACAAATTGGGCAGACCAAATTAAGTCTAAAGGATCCGATGGTGAGGAGAGAAAGTTTAATCATCCATTTTTACAGGTAAATGTCATGTTTAAAAGCATTCTTAATTGCAATTTCACAGTGATCACTCACAAAATAAATTCCAATCAACATGGCTTAGAGTCTAAAAACTACATCAATATTGCTTTTAATATAGTTTTATTGTAATACAATATACATAAACAGTTGAACATTAATTTTCAGGCTGCGTGCATGTTTCTTGGTGAAATATTGTGCCTTTTGACATTCAAATTAATTTACTTCAAAACAAGAAATAGTGGGGGTCACCCTCTTACTAGTGGAAGTCAAGATTTCAATCCTTTTATTCTAATGCCCGCCGCCATGTTTGATTTGGTAAGACACATTGTTTCTTATAAATCAATACATAATTAAATATATAATAGCCCTTAATTCTCAATTGCTAATAATATTTTTAGGTTGGTACTTCAATAATGTATATAGGTCTTAACTTGACTTATCCCAGCAGTTTCCAAATGTTCAGAGGCTCCATTATTGTTTTCGTAGCTGTTCTATCAACTACATTCCTTAACAGACAAATCATAAAAAGGGAATGGTATGGAATATGTAAGTGTTGTACACATTTTCAATTTATAAAATTATAACTTTTTTATGATAAAGGAGGACGGACAAGCATAGGGTCCACTTGCTAGATGGCTAAAATACTCAGCCGTATAACATTTAAACAAGATGTGCTGCCGACCAATTGTGGCTTTTGGTAATCGGAAATCCACAGACTGAAACGCAGTTAAAATTGACAGTTTTTTCACCTGTGGACAGTTAGACGGAATTTCAGTATTCCTACACCCCCCCCCCCTATTATCCAGATTTCCAGACAAAGGCCAATATGTTTCAGAAAAATTGTAATTGCTAAAAAAAATATTGGGATTGGTGGGGATGGGACCCACAACCCCTTTATTATTATTAGTCAAACTTTGCTACTATTACACCAAAGAGCCCATCAAAACATTATATTACACAATAATTATTTATTTTTGTACAATATGAAGTATTCTTAATATTTAGATGGAAAAAATGTTTCGAATTAGAAAATATAATGGAAGAAAGAGGCAATATATAATACATATAAAAGTAACATTATTAACTAAACTAAATTTCTTAAATGTTTAGTGTATACTTTCATAATAAGAGCCTTATGTTTTAAAGTTATTTGGCAAATATCCAAGCTTAGCAGAAAGTTGAAACACTACCATATTGAATGGACATTCCGAGAATTTGATACTTGTTTAACATTCATACAAAAAACACAGTCATCATAACAAATAAATTGTAAGCTGAGTAGTGTTATCATAATACATATTGATTGTACTGAGAATTAAAATAATAATTTGTATTACACTTGCTTCTCTGTGGCATTAAATTGGTGTAAGTCTAATGGTCAAGCAGAACTGGGTTTGATTCCCACGGGCTTCAGCTATTTTTGTAGTTTTGTGTTTATTTTAACAATGTTAGACATATTGTCTGGACAAAATGTGTCTTTTTCTGTCACTTTTTCTATCTCATCAACACCTGACTATTAAAAAGCCATGTTTACTGACAAACTTTTCCATCCTTACTTTACTTTAATCTTTATATTATTGACTAGGTAGATGCAAGTCTACTATTTGTTATATAATGTTTAACCTCTATGAATAACCTATCTCATATGATGATAACATTAGATAAATTATTTTATTTAATAGATTTAACAGTTCAAAACAGAAATCATATTAGTCGATGCAACCGTGATTTCTAATTCAGATCGCGTTATAAATCGTTGAAAGTGTTTCATTCAATATATTTTTAAGAATAGCGTGATTTATTTTTTGCAATTCAAGGAATTTAAATATGACACTAACGATATTAAAAGTATTGATGAATGGCATAACATGTAACTTGAACTCTGTTATATGAGTTTCCTGTTATGGATTTTTATGATTTGTAATTAGATATTAAGAATTTACATTGATGAATATTTTATAATATTTTTTTTAAACTGAGCTTATACTTAGTAGCTATCTGCCATTACCTGCATTTATCGCTAACTAAAATGTTCTCTATACTTAGACCGTTAAATGGCTTAGCTGTTTAAAGCACCCAACCTTATTAAGGGAAAATATAGAACCAACTTTTAAGGATACAATTACGTTATTACATACATTATAATGTGTTGTGAAGTTTACGAGAGAAGCACATTTAAATTAAATACTTTGAACGTGTTCATGATTTTTATATATCTTTACCCATAGAAGTAGTTTTTGTTCTGCTTCTACTTCTATGATTATATATTATCTTTTGAACTTAATACATGTTAAATATTTATATTGCTTAGTAGCAGTGTAAGTTCTTTAGAACTCGACTTGATTGAAATGAAATTTGGAGAGTAGCAGTGTTTTTTTTTATTGTTCGTTCGATTACGCCCTTAGTTTGAGAACTGAAACGTTTCTTCTGAGAATATTGGTTACACTTGAATTTTATTTGTAAAAAGCAAGAGATCAATGACAACCAAAGGGTTTATTTTATACAAGCCGTGCTCGCGACTTCGTCTGCGTGAAACATTATACGCGTCATTACGTTATTTATTTTGGTAAACAACCTCCTTAGCTTTATAAATTATGGATGTTACTTGCGACGTCGTCCGCATCCCGTCGTTCTTGCGAGTTGATCTTAAAAGATAGACATACTATCGCACATAATTTTTAAAATCATTCATAGAAGATTCATGCTTTCAAAATTTTTGGGTTCTTAAACCGTTTCCGGAGCGCACGCAACATAGGTTATCAAAGATGAATCATTTTCATCGTCTTTTCACTGATCCCGTTAGTCTTAGCGTGCTATTATATAGCCAAAAGCCTCCCTCGATAAGTAGTCTGACCAACACAAAATATTTTTTTTAATTTGAAACAACAATTCAACAAACTCATCAGCTCTATAATATTAGTATATTTTTACTTGACTTTACTTGATTTCTTATAAAATTTATTATGTGATTTCAGTAAATGTAACCTTGGGGTTGATCATCGTTGGTGTCACCGATGCCTCATATCAATCACCAGGTGAAACAAAAGGCAGGAACAGTCTGATCACAGGAGATCTGTTAATCATAGTGGCTCAAGTCGTGTCAGCTTGCCAAATGGTGTATGAGGAAAAATATGTTGCAGGTAATTCTTTATTTTCACGTCTAATAATCAAAGGATGGCAGGTTTATTTCCCGCCGAGTCCGAATTTTTGTTGCTTCCTAATTTTCAAACATGTAAAATAATTTGACAGGCCATGTTTATAGAACATTTCAGCTTTTTAATAAATGCTTACCTGCCTAGTTTGATATTGGTATTTTTGTTACAATCTAGGACTAATACTATTTTTTTTAATTATACTTTTTTTATGATTGATGAGGACAGACAAGCTCTAGCCATATAACATCTATACTCGATTGCGCTGTCGACCTTTGGTTTTAGCTTTGGTTATTGGATTGAAGTAATTAGTATGTTAATTTAGTAGTTGGCAAATATATCAATATCTTAAAAAATAATGATAGAATAAATCTAAACATAACGGTTAAAAACGCGAAATGTATTAGTTAACTTATTTACAAACAAAAAAAAAAAAAAAAAAAAAAAAAAAAAAAAAAAAAAAAAAAACAAAAAAACAGGGCTAAATATCCCGCCGTTGCAAGCAGTTGGTTGGGAGGGTATATTTGGATTCTCTGTGCTCTCGGTCCTGCTGGTCGCTTTCTACTGGATACCTGCCCCTCCCCACTTTAGTCACAACCCAAATGGTACTATCGAAGATGCCATTGATGGCCTGGTTCAAATAGGTATGGATCTATTATTATATTGGAACTGGCTGTACCTTTCGCATGCATTTAGTGTGCGCTTGGTTCTTGCTAATTTCCTTTTCGAGGAATCATTCATACACTGTTTTTCGTTGTTTGAACCGTTTTCGCAGCGCACGCAACTGTAGTCCTCAATGATGAGTATTTTTAAAGCCCTTACGCAATAAATAATTTTCCCTTCTCGCCTTCTTCGATATTGGATATTAAAAACAAAAATAAATTTTAAATACGAACCAGTAGTTTCTGAGATTAGCACGTTAATACACTAGCTTTATAATATTAGTATAGATTTGTATATGAGGACCGTGTTTGTCTATTGCTGTTTGACCAAAAGAACACGAAAGATATTAAAATTAGACATAAACCGCGATAAGAGGTCGAGCATGTTGTTGGTGTTGGAAAGTCTAAAGAAATAAAATATTGATGATGTTATTTGAATTAATGTTAAAACATATTACATTTATTTTTTCCCTCCTCCTCAGGTAACAATCCAATACTCCTCTGCGCCGTCTTGGGTACAATTGTTTCGATAGCCTTCTTTAATTTCTCTGGAATAAGCGTTACCAAAGAAATGTCAGCGACTCACAGAATGATCTTAGATTCAGTCAGGTATGATGGCTTAAATTTTTTTTTATGATAGAGGAGCTCAGATAAGCATAGGATTTACTTGATGGTAGGAAGGTATAATATCTAAACAAGATCGTTGTCAAACTATTTTGGTTTTGGATATTCGAACATTCACAGACTGGAGCCGAAACGTAATTAAACTTTTCCAGATGTGGTGGTTCGTAATACGGATGGAATTTCGATTTATATCAAGATTTCCAGGTGAAGTCTACCATGTTACAGAAAAATTGTACATTCATTAGAAACATGTTGGAATTTAAATAAAATAAAAGTTGTTGGAAAAGCATCCGAAACGTCGGGCCGAAGTTAAACATCATTTTCAATAAGTTTAACTAATTTAACTATACACAGTATTTAACATTCCGTGCTGGTGCTCTAACCAATTGAGGTATTGTGTCTGATTTATTGATTGAATAGACCATCAGGATGATGGTGGATGCCGGTCCAAGTCCTGACCGTCTCGCATTATTTTCTAATAATATGTGAAAAATATTAAAGTTGTAAAGCCCCACGTTACGGATGTTTTGCAGTAGCAGTGATCACGGCTTAAAATTATAATGATTAGAAGCAATAATTAGAGAATTCTGTTCCACCACTATCTTTCTTATGTACGACACACGTCGGTTAATGTTTTGCCTTTACCCTGTGTTGTTCTAAACGATTTTTCGCTTTCAGAACTCTCGTAATCTGGTTGTTCTCAATTGGTGTCGGCTGGCAAGTCTTCCATTGGCAACATGTTATAGGCTTCGCGATTCTTATCATTGGAATGTGTGGTTATAACGGGGTGCTGCCAGATTGCTCTGCACGACGTTCGCAATCAGATGCAGTGATACATAACGAGGCCGATAGACTGGAAGAAGCTTGAAGTATGGATTTGAAGATCTAATTATAGTTCTCTCTAAACTTTTTTACCGGGCTGAAGTTGGCGCGACCGCCATCTTGCGCATGGTACTGTCAATTGTAAGCAAAAAGTCGAGTCGCCTCGCGCACCCCCTTTGTCGCAACTGATACCTACTTCTTGCGTTCTGCGCAACCATCCGCGCCAACTTCAGCACGGCCATAAAGTTTGGAGAGTACTGTACTAGGTTGTTTAGGGATCTGCGGCAGTTATCGATATTAAAGTGAACTGGTTAATTATAAGGTTATAACGAATAGTATCTTAATTATATTTTAGTTATAAAACCACCAGAGCTACTGAAACACCGAGGCCAAAATAGAGCGTATGATAAACCACATAACATTCAATGTATGCTGCATATTATTGTATTAAGTAGTTACTGCTCATTTAGATATAAGATAATTTTTCATCATTGTCTCAGTTTAGATTTAAATCCGTCAAATTAGGTTTTATAACTCCCGAATACTAATAACATCAGTCACTTAATACGACAAATGTCATTTTGTCTTTGTAGTGTCAGGTCGTCAACTTAAGATTAAAAAAATATGAAATTTAATATGTTCAAAAAGGTATATTTTATTTTTGACAGTGTATAAACCGGGGCTTATGATATTAACTTTAAGTATTTTTATTATTATTAAGCAATCTTCCTGTACTAAAATATAACTTATTTTTCTAGTTCCTCTTGAATTTTTCTAAACTATTACGTAAACCTTTTAGCTATGCTTTTGTTTGTCAACTCTTCATATGTTGTACATGTTTTAATGTTTAAAAGAACAAACATCGGTGTCTTCGGTAAGCCTGTGTGATAACAATCTTATTCCGTGAAAGAGTTTCATATGTATGTGCCTTAGTTTTCATAGATTAGAATGATAGAGGTCTAACGTTTTTATATGTCATTTGTAATTAGATATAATATATTAGTAGTCTTGGGTCTTATATATCTATTAGTAAAGGAAAAGCTTATTATTTTTCTATTTGAAATTTTTTGACTGCGAAACCAAAAACAGATTAAAATAATTTTGCGATATTTTAGTTTGATAAGAGAAGTCTTCTGAATTTCAATTTTGCTCAACTTTTCAAATTCCGGACCAATATTATTTTTGTAAACATTTTAAAATCAACCCCTTTTATTTTGTCATTACTTGAGATGTGTATTTTATTTACGTTACTATTTTCTGCTGTGTACAAAATTTAATGTAACATTTTATGTGATAATAAGTATTTTGTATCTGAATTATAAGAATAATAAATAATGATAATTTTACTAACACATGTTTTAGTTGTACAGTCTATTGGACTCTGATCTACCAGACGAATAACCTCCGTTCAGCTCTTCAACCTTACCCTATGGCTTCATACCAATGCCCCCAGGGGGAACCCTTGGTCTCGTGGCAAAGATAAAATGCATTATTGTACTAACACAATAGGGTGAAAAGTTTTTACTCCTTTTGCACATATAGAGCGTCCTTAAGTATATATTTTTCGGAGTATACGATCCCTTTTGTATTTATCGTATACAACTAAGGTTTAGAGTGCAGATCATCATAAGAAAGACAAAAAGTTATAAAGTAAAATATAATGACTATTATCTATTGAATATTGACGTCAAGTCTTCTCCTTGTCAACTTTCGGCTTCTCACCGGCAGCTGAAAATGAAATAACCGATTGATTCAATCGAGGGACTTACTACACAGTTACTACTATTTAAATTTGTATATTGTTATACTTTGTGGAAAAAAGTGATTTTATTGAGTCTAGCAATATTTTGCTCCTGATAATATTTTACAACAAAGACGCCTTTTCGTCAGTGTCAAATAAAATCTTTCAGGAAAGTTTTTTCTTCAAATCAAGAGATCGTTGATCTATCTACAACGGTCATTAATTTAAGTGTTTACGTCTTTATTTTAAAAATAATACTCTCAGCGACTCCAGCAGTTTTATTCATAACACTTAAATTTTGATTTACGATACACTTGTTAGGTCTAGTTCGCCGTTATAATATGTAAAAAAAGAAGGACTACACTTATTTAAGCCTATAACAAAAGCATGGCGGACCTCAAAGTTACAAATATAAACCCCCACGGTAAATACCCTTTATCATTTTGGTATGTATTTTAACAGTACTTGGTAAACTCTACTACATTCTTCGAATATTCGAAAGAATGTATCATTATAAAGACTACTAAAAATAATGGCGCTTACGTAAAGCAGCTCCATTTGACCAGAAGAAGCATTTAATGAACGAAGCATCGCGTTTGGCAGCCTCATCTTTTAAGTTTGATTTTAGAGACTTACGAAGCGTCCTTGCTGCTATGTTAGAGTAGTTAACATAACTGAAAAAAAAGTTAAATCTCGTTTATTTCTGTGAAGGCGAACATTTGCAGCTTCTCTACAGGTTGATATTTTACGTGTAATACTACGTGTACAAGTTAAAAGTAAATAATAGTTAAGTATAGAGTTTTTATGGAATTGGGCTGTCTTGGATGGAGTTACTAAATTATAATATGTTGTGTTCAAAACATTGATGTGTCTGCTTTATAAGAAATGTAAATTACAGTTCTAAGAAAATAATGTTCACAAATAAGTGGCTATCGAATAAAACGAAGACTATTAGTTAGTACCACAAAAAGTGCCCAATCAAAACAAATTATTATCCATTCCTAAATTTGACTTAAAAATTAGGTCTGATTATTAAATGATTTTTAAAATACATTCAAAAAGTGTTTTCCCAAATCTAATATATTGTCTATTGATATAGTAATTCCCCTTGTATACCACGGAGAAATCCCTAAAAAATAACTAGCTGATCTCATTACAATCATTCATAATTTACAAGTAGTTTTTGATAATCTTACTTTAAGCCCGCCATGCGCCAGGTACTCATCGTGAACTACACCATCAGTAAAACTTAATCCAACAATTTAATAGTCCAATATCCACCATCCCACAAGTTCCAGTTCTAATCCTTTGTACTAGTTGACATATATGACTTTTACTTTGTGACAGATACCAAAAAGTTTAGTAAGGGCATATAGATTTTATTTTAATTAAAACAGAAGCTGTCGGTGTTTTGATTCACTTCTGACTAGCATGTTTTATTATAAGTATATCAAAAAAGGTCGTAAGGTGTAAATTACATTTCGGTATCAGCCAAATCAAAAATATGGCGGCAGCATTTAAAATTAACCCAATACTCCTATGTCCTTCTGCATTGTAAATAATATATATACGAAATTACATATAATGTAACATGGTTAATTATGGTATTCATTTTCGCCGATCGTCAATCGCAATAAATATACCTAAAACTAAGTGTGAAATATGATAAAAACCATAATTAACGCCTAACAAGTGTAAGTGTTTTATTCATAATATTTTTTTACACATTGTTTTCGACTTATACAATAAATAAATATTATGAGCTTGAGTTTATACTCAGCAGTGCTGATAGAGGCAGAGAAGTTACATAATAAAGTCTAAGATTGATAGAACAACCATAATTTAAAAAAAAAAACAATTGTCTATTAGTGCTTAGTACTAAATTACTTTTCTTCATCTTTCCAAGCTTCCGCAAACAGTCCCGACAGTAATTCTTTCAAGTAAAATACTAAGTATAATTTACAATTAAACTGAAGTGTATTTAATAACATACAGACACATACAATAAGCGAATATAGCCGGTTTTAACTAGTAAATAATTTAAAATATTGATAATTGGTAATTGCTATAAGATACTATATCATTTTATTCGATACGAGAAAATATAATGTAATAGTTGTTACTACCTTTTCGCGATAACGCTTGAAACAACATCAATAAAAATTACAATTATTATAATAGGGGTCAATGTCGTATTCAGTTTTGCATTTTTTTTTGTTTAACAGGTGTTTCCTGACAACGTTTCGGTATTTTGTCCATAGAAAATTCATTATCTTTACGTTATCTTCCTTAAACAGCTGCTAAAACTGTTGCAAAAAAAATAACTTCATTTCATTGTTTGTTAAAATGTATGTATGGACCTCAGTCGCTGACCAGAAAAAAGGTGATGTGAAGGACTTTAAATGAATGCGGGTAAAGCAAAAAAAAATGTTTGTCTCATGCCACAAGCAAGGGTCTCATACTTGCATATAATCATATGTCATAGACAGTTATTAAGATGTAAATAAAATTTATGATCAAAGTAAGATTCGAAAAATTAATTTTATGATTTACATAACTTTATGTCAAATTGCAAACGTATTTCTGTTTAACTATTTTTTTTAAAAAAAAAAAAAAAATGAGCTAAGTATTTAAACGTTATTGGCGTTTTAACCCAATAAAAAGTATTTTATTCAAGTGTATACGCGTAATCTATTGAAGATAATAATTAACAAGTCCAAATAATTTTAAACAAAATATTCATATTAACCCGTTAAATTGTAACAACGATAACAAAAAAGTTGTACTATGCGAAACACGAGAACTATATACATTTTTTGGTCGCGATGCATCAACACAAAATTCGAGGAAATAATATTTCGGTCGAGAAGGGCACTAAAGTCTGGTAAAATACTTGCTATTTTTTAATTTTGCACAGTACGCGAATAATGATGAAAACGGGATTAAATATTTTTATTAATAATTTTACTTTCATAACCATCAAAAGATACGAAAAATTACCATAACTTAAATAAAAGTTATGATAATTTTATTAACACAATCGTGTTACACATCATATAATAATGTTGTTGGTGTCACTAACACTCAAGAAAAAGTTTCTTTCAAGTAATCTATACTAATATTATGAAACTGAAGAGTTTATTTCTTTACTGAATTGAAAAAAAAATAGTGTACGTTTTACCAATTGTCCATAAATCTTTACGGTATGATTATACGATAGTGTGATAATATATTTTTAGGATTAACTAGCAAGCACGACGAGACGACGTTGTGGGTAACAGCTATATTTTATAAAGCTAAAGAGATTAAAGGCAAATGTAAATAAAATTATGCCCAAAATAATCGCGGACGAAGTTGCGAGCACAACTAGTTTTTGATAGAAGTAAATATATATCAAATCATGGCGTAGTAAATGCAAGCTTTTCTGGTGTAACAATTGAATAACATTTGTTAAACTAGCGTACGTCTATAATGATATCATCTAATTCCCCATAAGCAATGAGTCACGTTTTATTTGCTTTGTAGCATACCTCGCATGTCCTCCGCACTTCTACACGTCCAATTTTATATAAAATAAATTCTAAAACGGATTTGAGCGTTTTACATACAATGTGATAAGTAGGTATTCTTTTAAGATAATTAGGCATTTGTTAATTTATCAAGAATATAACATTTCATTGTTTATGGTTACCGCTTATCTTTATAGTTTTAAGAAATGTCCATAACTCATATCTCGCAACCATATCCTGCCCTATTTGACATTTGATTTTAACGAGCGTTTTTTGTTTCTCTTTTGACTTAGGCCATTTATCTGATATCGGAGAAGGTATCGCTTACTCAGCGATTGATAAGACACGATGTTAATTATGTTGAAATCGTAAGTCCACCTCTTCATAACGCGTCAAGTGCATTAATACGAACGGAACGTAAATCGTCCTGAATCAAATCTACGCGTGTAAGGGAAAATCGACCGAGCGGTTATGTGTTTAGGTGGACTTTGGGGAATGCATTTATTTTATTCGGGCATGCGCGATGGCGTGGCTTCTAAAACGACTTGTTGAAGGTCACCTTGAGTAAACTTGCCGGTGCCCAGCCGGCTTGTGGCAGCTCTGTCTACAACTCCTCCCGGTGACACCACTACGTGACTGGACGCACGAGCCTGCATCTAACCTGTGAGTAAACACGTACAGTGTTAATAGTAGACTAAACTTTTTAATGTTAACTAAACTGCTACTATTGTTGAACGCATTGTATTTAGATGATCATTTATTTAGTAGCAGAAGTAAATTTGAAATGTGAAACAAGAATTACGGCTGAGTAAATAATTGAGTAACTTTAATTCGCAATGCTCAAATTTGTGCAAGTTAATTTTTTTTATATACGAACTTTTTATAGTAATGCAAGTTTAATGAAGGTGATGCCTCATACAATGTATTGTGACCGTTCTTTCTGACTGAGTGACCTTCGAGAGGTCAGTAATCTAATGAAATAATAGGGCTATGGTGAAACTTGTCAGTGACAGTTATCTAGACTTAAGCTTTGTTTTGGAGCACGAATTTTTGACGTGTATTTTTTTGTCGGAGATTTTCTGGGACTTATTATTATTATATATATTAGTATTATGTTGATCAAAGGGGACAGCGTTTTATTTTGTTAGGTTAGCTCAGCTTTGTATGATGTATCAGTTAAATTTAACTTTCGTCGCCCATAAGTATCCACCAAAATCCAAAGAAATTAAAAACAAATGAAAACTTTTTCCATAAATATTTACCGTACCGTTTTCACTTTTTAAATACAATAAACATTTTAAAACAACTTTAACGGACGTTTAAAGTTCTTATTATAAGCTTTACGATATCATTTCGATTAACCGCGTTATTTCTATCATTGATCTTGATAATGACCTTGAGAAGACACCAGCTGTTTTTTCTAGTCGCCTATCCGTTATTTATAAACATTCGATTGAATAAAACAATTACAGTTATAAAAGTGATTTGTTTGTGAATGTGATCGTTTATCACCAATTTATTTTATAAAATAAAATCGATACGGAACAAATGCACAGGACTAGACAATATTTAAATACATTATTTGTAAACAAATACAAATTCTACATTATGTGGGAATTGTGGTTTAATACTGTGTATTTATATATGTATATTTAATAATTTCAACTGCGCGGTGCGTTACGAGTAAGATTTTGTTAGTCCTTGAATCGTCCTTGGTATCTGAAATTCTAGAATTGACGTAAACTGTCAATGTTACATATTTTAACAAATATATGTATTAAAATTTTAATACTTTTACATAATGTCACTGTATAAAAAAACATGTCTGTAGTATACAGGAGTAATACACATTTAACGGATTAAAACGCGAAATGAATTACTTAAAAAAAAACCCGGCCACCCCCCCGCCCCCCCCCGCTTTTTAATTTAAATATTTACTAGCTTATATACTAGCAGTAGTGACTTTTATTCAAATGTATAATACTAACACTTTTATTCACTGCTAATAATACGACTCAGCTAATATTGTTGGTTATTTGTTACGAATAAATTTTGTTGTGTATTTATTGACCGCATACTCGGGTCAGTTATTGAACGCGTCTGGCATTCAAAAGTCTTGGGTTCAAGTCTCTAAATGTGATAATAACTTACTGTAGTTTACGCGAGTAGTGCACATTTAAATAAAACACTTTAACGGTTTAAAACGCGATATTTTAGTTACGTTTCGTCTGTCGTGTTTGTCGTTACCTCCCTGTGACCACGGCTGATGCAAAGCACCCGAAACGTCTGGCCGTAGTAAAAATAATTTTCAAATAAGTTTAATTAGTATATGGCGCGTTTTAAACCGTTAAAGTGTTTATTTGCTTCGCTATCGTTTTGTGTGGTGCATCCAGAGGACTTAGGTTTGAATATTGAACACATTGAAATTTTACTCTTATCATCCATTTTGTGTTTTAGACACAGTTTAAAATCAGTTGGAAAACACAACTGTTGCATTGCATCAACGAGTACATCTATTCGAACGTGTCCACCTTTGCATATTTAATCATATAATGTGACACAGATAATTCTTATAGTTATACTACAACCACCGAATGTTTTACCCTCTACCACCGATCGACTAAACATCTCTTACAAAAACAAAGAACTGAACGATCCTTAGCACGAAACTCATTCGTAGTAAAAAAAACAATACTATATATAAAAATCAAAAATACATTGAAACAATTTTCGACTCGAGCAGGACTTGAACCGGCATCGTCAGCGTTCCGTGCTATTGCTCTAACCAATTGAGCTACCGAGTGTGTAAGATTTTTTTTCAACTTATCGATAGATGCACCTCTCACGCAATTCAATTTCAACCTTAGCTGTTGCGAATTAAGATTCAATATCTTGCAGCTTAAGCAAACCATTGAAAATGAAATTACAAAGTTATAACGTTTGAAAACTGTAATAATTTTGTAGTCCTGCCCGAGTCGATTTTTTTTAAATTTATTTTCAATTTTTAATCTACATAGTGCCATCATGTGCAACAACGTGTAAAACATATTAAAGGTTTCAAACATTTAGTTAACACAAGCTCAGGATTCATGCATCCTTACTTCATTTCTATCCCTTATTTCATCACGCGGCGTAGTTGTGTATTTCGAAATGTTTCACAATACTTAAATGTACTTGGGCAAAGATCCTCTTCACGAAATTGTATCAAAAGAGCCGCGACAATTTGTTTTTAATATCCATCAAAGTCAAAAATAATTTATTCGTGTAGGTAACTTGGTACCTACATTTAAAAACGTCAGACCCGTTAAAAACTAAAGCTTCTAAATTTAAAATTACTAACAGTTCTCAAATCAAATCATCGTAAATTTACTTTCTATATCTCTTTTATTTTTATTACTATTATCTTGCTAAACCCGATTCAGACTACGTTAGCCAGTTTTTTCTTACAAAACTCTTTAATTGAAACATTTCAACGGTTTAAAACGCGATATATATTAGTTAAACTTATTTGAAAAATATATTAACTACGTTCCGAAATAATTTTCAAACAAGAATAACCAATACATATCGCGTTTTAAACTGTTAAAGTGTTTTATCAAAATGTGTACTACTCGCGTAAACTACAGACAGTATTTACAACAATTTGTTGTTACTAACAAAGAACCGGGCAGGTAGATATGAAAAAAATTGAGCCCGCTGTTAACATGTAAAATGTAGGGATTTTTGTGTCTGTATAACGTGTAACCGGTCATGTATCGCAGAACGCACGTGAGTTTTAAACTGATTCATTCCGTCCCCACCACTGGCACTAACCGAAACTGCAGTGTGTACGCCGCGTATAATTGCGCAGGGTACACATCCGCGCCGTCACAAATTCGTTGATATTCGGCAGGCTCATATTCAGTGCTTATTCCCCAGAAATTAAACCTTCAACAAGAAATATTACATCATACAATGAACGGAAATCATATTAACGGATTCGATCGTAAGTCTATTGTGATTTTTTTTTTGCTAGCGAATTTTTATTAACAAAGTCTTCTGCAATGCTATGCAATACATTTTACTTAACAACTGTTTAATTATTAGTATTTATAACAATTTAAAATGTAAATACTTGCTAATTGTTATATTTTTACATTAATTAAGAACAAAATCCCTTTGTTTGTGTTTTCACTACAGTGTAAAGTGTTAACAAAAATCTCATTGTTATAATTAGTTATTTTAATTAAATTTTATCCTTAATTGTATTTTAATATTTCCTTCAACAACGTTACTTTGATTTAGGTGTTCTTGAAATTCCACTGATAATCGGAAACAATAAAACAATGGGTAATAAGATGTATTTATGGCTTTATTATTATAATATAGAGCAGTTTATAATCGTATAAAAAGTAGCGGATTTTTTATTTATTTACTTATATACCAATTATCAAGATCAATTATTAGATTGCAATTAAATCAAAACATTTTATTGCGTTTTTAACAAACTTTAAAGTTGGTTAGTATTTTTTTATAACAACACCATAGCCTACTATTCTTACAACAATAAGCGAAATTAAATATTGTATGACTCTTTATAAAAAAACTTTTTTTTTATTATAAGGTCGAATGATTTTGATGTTTGTTTATAGCCAAAATGGCGACTATCGAGAAACTGTTTCAACCCGTGCAGCCCAAGAACGACGACACCGGCAACAAGATAACCGTCGTTGGAACAGGACAAGTTGGCATGGCCGCTGTCTTCTCTATGCTAACGCAGGTAACAACAACTAAACATGTCTTACAAAAGCATGACACAAAAAATTCATACAATATGGTATGTCAAAAAAACTAATATGTTTGTGAGTATTTACAAATATTTATTACCTATAATGTAAAAAAGACCATTTCAATCAAATCACTCTTTGTAGGAGCACAAACTATAGTTCTGTAAACTGAAGTAATAATGGAACACAATATAGTTATTGCTTCCATCAAACTTTCAAACTTTCGTGAACATTTTGTCCCAACTATGCACTTGCATAGTTTGGTCTATCTAAATATACACACAGCGAGACTGGGATTTCGTAAAGTACAATGGCATTTAGTGCTTAAATTAATTGCACAAGCAACGAAACCTTTATTAATAGGAAATGGGAAAATAGAATGGAATCTTGATATTACAAAAAACTGGAGATTACTAAATTACAAATTTTATTTTGAATTTATATAAGCGTAGGAAATGTAATAGTTCGACCAATGTTAGAAACATAATCCTTCTAATGACGCAACGTCTTGAAAACGTTAAACAATAGTAACCAAAGTAGACGTTAAACTTGTTTTTAGGTTTCAGCTCCATCTTCACTGAAACTCTGTCTGAAATATCTTAGTTATAATAAACAATACAATATTTCAAAATTCTGAACCATTTTTTTAAATGTCACGTGATATTTTATTAAGTGTCCAATTGTAATGTCTTCATGTTATGCACAGATAAATTATCTCATTTTCATGTGTATTCTTTGCGTCACAGGGAGTAACAAACAACATTGCGCTAGTTGATGTAATGGAAGACAAACTGAAAGGGGAAATGATGGATTTACAACACGGTTCGGCTTTTATGAGAAACGCTAAGATTCAAGCCAGTACAGGTTCGATTTTTAACTATGAATAAATAGGTAGGGTCGCGAAAATAGGTACAAGCAACTTTATAAAATATCATAGCAATTATTATTTGTTTTTAATTTAAGTAGGGTGAAATATCGAAATTTAAATGCACAGACTGTAACCTGTGTTCATTTGGTATTGGGTGGTAGAAATATCGAAATTCCGTCCGGGTCAAGAACCATCCTCCACAGATGAAAAATCCGTCAAGTTTAATCGCGTTACGAATACCCAAAGCCAAATAGGTCGACAACACATATGCTTTAAATGTTACATGACTGGGGCATTTCACCCAACATCAACAACCCCATGCTTTTCTGTCCTCGTCTATATTTAAAAAAATGTTTTTTTTAAATATGCGCTTCTATAATATTATTATGGACATAATTCGTTTTTTTTCTTACAATGTTGTAATTCTCTAAATTATTATTGAGGTTGAAGTGAAAACTTCCTACTAAGCATTATCTTATATATAAAATTCTCACGTTAGTTACCATACTCCTCCGAAACGGCTCGACAGATTGTGATTAAACTTTATATGCAGATTCAGTTGGTCTGAGAATCGGCTATCTACTTGTCATACCCCTAAGTGATAGCGGTTGTTCACTCTTACCATTTTTATAATTATTAATAATTTTTTTTTCTATAATACCATTAAAAATACTTACAACCCCAAAATTTTACCCTTTAATCACTGTCTCTTACTTTTTTATAACTAGTCTAACGCTCGATAACCGACCGATTATCGTCTTTTTTGTAAATGTTCACTCTATTTCGATTGAAATTTCCCTGACCTTATGTGTCAGCTAGTTTTTAATAAATTTATTTGTCTCTAGATTATGCAATTTCTGCCGGATCCAAGATCTGCGTGGTAACCGCCGGCGTACGTCAGCGTGAGGGCGAGTCTCGCTTAGATTTAGTTCAGAGAAACACGGATGTCCTCAAAATCATTATTCCACAAGTAAGTTTGACGAGAATCACTATTTTATTCTAATATCTAATTCAGACTTAACTAACATCGTAATTATAATTACTAATTTATTTTATTAGTATTAAAAAATATAGATATATCTAACATATCTGTATGGGAATCAAACCCACGCCATTTACTTAACTTATAAAGGTAACAAGGATACTACATACATTTCCGTGCTTTTTAAGAGATTATTAATTAAAGTCATTTACTGTCACTTTAATTAATCTCATACTAATTATTGTAATACTTAATTATTTATATGTTTGTTTAAAAAATGATATAAAAGATTCAAATGTCAATGTTATAATTTTCTTATTTATAAAATAAAGTTATCAAATATAATATAATAAAAATGGCTGTAAAACAACCATTTTTATTATGTACACAAAATCGTATGTCGTTTTGAGTTATGTAATTAAAGTTGATAAATAAATCGCAACGCTAGAACATTAATGTGGTCTTTTATCAGTTTTTAATAAATTAATTGGGATAAGGATGAGATAACATACCTATAAGTTGAATTGATATTTCTCGAGGAAAAATTTCCAACACCTTGCACTTTAAGGAAACGGTTTCCCATAAAAGATGTACATCGCGTGTAGTTATTTCAGATAATTACGGAGTAAAGGTATAATTTGACAATAAAAGCGAGTGCTTTTACCGACCTATGCCTAATAAGATCTAATATTAAGCTACTAGTTATGCTGTACGCGGCTTATGGCATTTATGGGAGAAGAAGATCATCTTACAACGCTATACTATTTTTCTTAAAATTATATAGCGATGTAAGATGACAGAGATGAAAGAGATTCTCGTTGGTATAACGCAATATGTGTCTAATACTCAACGGGTCGTGGGTTCGATAACCACCGAACCTGTTTATAATTTTTCTGAAAGGTGTTGTTCCTCGTCTGGACGTATTTAATGGGTGATAGGAATATCAAATACCGGGTCACGAACCACGGTCAACAAATTCGGTTTCAGTTTGTGAATTTCCGGATATCCTAACCCAATATCTCTATACTCAGTATCTGGTGTATTTCACTTACGATCGAGTGACTCTCTCTCTACTCCTTCATACCATTCTTACACTATTAGAATTATATATAAGAACTTATACTATATACTATATGTTTTTCGTCCAGCTTGTCAAGTACAGTCCAGATGCAATCCTCATGATCGCTAGTAACCCAGTGGACATCTTGACTTATGTGACCTGGAAGATCAGCGGTTTGCCAAAACACCGCGTCATTGGTTCAGGAACAAACCTGGACTCGGCGAGATTCAGATATTTGCTATCAGACAAACTGTCTGTTGCGGCCACTTCCTGCCACGGTTATATTATTGGAGAACACGGGGACAGTAGCGGTACGTTGAATTACCTTTATAGTCTGTCTGTATATGTAACTAGGTGTATTAGCGACATCGTCTGCGTAGAACACTTATTTTGGGCATCAAAATTTGTTTTTGCACCCTCCTCCTTATCCCGCGGCTATCATTTTCGCTAGATATTCTTAAAACACATTATAGATATATAATGTCATGGATATTTTTAGATAGTTTAACAAAGAACAAACCTTTGAAACAATTTTTTTTGGCTACCTTGAATCGTTTTCACAACAAACGCCCTTCAAGATGAATAATTTTCTTTTTTTTTTTTGCACTGCTTCGCATCTATTGGTCGCAGTCTGATGTTCTAAAGCCTTCCTCGATAATTGGTCTAACCAACACAAAAATAATTTTTCAATTCGAACCAATAGTTCCTCGGATTAGGATTTATAACGAACTCTTCCACTTCATATTTTAGTATATATATAAAAGTCTAATAACAATATTTTAACAGTACCAGTATGGTCTGGTGTTAACGTCGCTGGCGTGAGACTTAGTGACATCAACCCGAAAATTGGAACAGAGAGCGACACCGAAAACTGGAAAGAATTACACGAAATGGTCGTGAAGAGTGCTTACGAAGTGATCAAGCTGAAGGGCTACACTTCATGGGCTATAGGACTGTCCCTTGCACAGTTAGCACGTGCTATCCTCACTAATGCGAGCAGTGTCCATCCTGTATCTACATACTTGAAGGTAAATTAAGGTTTTTAAAATAAAATTATGTCACTTTAATTAAAGACTAACAAGGAGTTTTTGAATAAAGTAATCTAAATTAACGCTGTGGATGTCAAGTCCTGTCCGTGTCGAAATTTTTTTCAATTTCGTATCGATTTTGAAACTATATCATTAATTCTTATTTCAGGGTGAACACGGCATCGAAGAGGATGTCTTCCTCTCGCTGCCGTGTGTGTTAGGTTCTTCTGGGGTTTCGGACGTCATCAGACAACCACTCAAGGAAAACGAACTTGGACAACTCCGCAAGTCCGCTAATCTTATGGCACAAGTGCAAGCTGGTATTAAATTTTAATACGTCGCTAAAACTAATGGTTTCTTTATATGTGAGCTAACAAAGTTTATTAGTAAATGTTACGTTTCGTGTATGAGTTTTACACTAATTTTAATTTTAGTTAAATATTACCACGAAAATGGCTTTTCATAAATGTGTGTTTAGTGGCCGAATCGTTACGTATACAACAATGTATAAAAATTCAATGTGAGAATTTGAAAAGTCTTAAGCTAAAATTTGTCATGTTCTCTCGATGTGTGCATTTAAATGTATCGTGAAATTTTGATATCGCTATAGCTTTTTAGATAGGAGCTTTTTTACTTTAAATAAATTTAATGTTCTGGAAACGTTACAGAAAAACTTTTCGCATTTAACAATTATACAATAAATTTACGAATGAAAATGAAAGGACGAAAGCACAATTTATACCTAAGCATAATTTTTATATAACCTTAGTAAGAGAAGCGAAGAAACTATCCATATTGTAATGTGATGTTAATGTAACGTTAAGTTCTATGTAATACGGTAATACATATAATACTAGCTGCGCCAGCGACTTCGTCCGCGTGGAATAGTTATTTTGGGTTTGCTCTTTGTTCTTTGTAAACCTATACTTCATCTTTATAAATTTAATTTGTTACGCACGACATCGGTCATCCCGTCGCTCGCGGTCAGTCGTTCTTTCAAGTTAATCTTAAAAGATTGAAGAGAATTTTTCAATTCGAACCAGTAGTTTCCGAGATTAGCGCGTCCAAACAAACAAACTCATCAGCTTTGTACGTTAGTATAGATTTTGTATTTTTATATTCTTAATTTTTTATTAATTCACAACGGTTGCAGTTTCATTCTATAACATGTTTATCTAATAGCAGCCAAAGTATCCATCCAATCAAATGTTAGATATAATATCGCATTAATTAATAAAAATAATTAACCAGACTGTACGTATTCTTAATACTAATTATGCATGATACACTATAATTAAATTAATTTTATTTAAATAAATGTTCTAGATCTACAAATGTTGCTTATTAACGCCCTTTTCTGTTGTTCAGTGAAGTTTTCTCTGGCTTTCGTATCAAGGAACTATTTAAAAGTGTTTGTTGGTCTAATGATGGCAATGTATGATCAACGGGCCCTGAGTTCGATCCCCAGTGAGTCCAACATGTTTCTTGTCAATTTAGTATTTTTTAAACATGTTGACCTTCCTTTGAAAAGTCTGTATATTGAATGGTTGGTAGGAATATCAAAATTTCGTCCGGGTGACGAACCACCGTCCACAGAAGATTCCCTGAACCCCTGTGGATTCAGTCGCTTTGGTTTTACACGTATTTGGCTTTAAATGCATAAATATGAATACTAGGTAATACTTTTGGCATAGATTAAAACAGGCAGTTTAGATATTGATAATGCAAACACACGGGTGTACGCATCTTGTAGATGTCCGTGTATTTTTGTTCATGATTCCGTAAAAGAAAATGGACGTCAAAAGCTTTAAAATAAAACAAAATTTTCATAAAATTATATATTGAATTTCGTTATATGATCAGAGATAATTATAATTATAGATATACATTAAAAGTCAGTACTACAATAAAATAACTAAAGCTAGGGTACACTGCTTAATTGCGATGATGACAGTGCGCTGCGCTATAGCTTTTTGATCAAGAATACATACTTTACTTGTTAGGAAATGAAAATATAAATTAATAAATAATAAGAAATTTCTTCAAATATTAACTTTGTGTTCGATTTGTATAGACGCGGTCATCATACCATACAATAACTTATAGGATGACAAAAAAAAAAAAAAAAATTTTTAAAAAAAAAAAAATAAAATTATTTCCCGGCGGGGAAAAAAAAATAAAAAAAAAAATTTAAAAAATTACTTGGTCATCAAAGAATGTTAAAAATATTTAATCAATAAAAGAATTTAATCTTTTTCAAATGATGACTTCGATTCCTACTGCGTCCAATTTTAATACAATTTCACGACAGGTTTAATAAAATAATAAATAAACACTGAATAAATTACTTGGCTATAGAAGATTGGTAAAAATATTACATATATAACAGAATTTAGATTTTAATCCGATTCCTGCCTGTGCGTCGTCTGAAAATCTATCTATTTTATGGGTAATAGAGAAGAGTCGAAATTCACCAACTCAACTACCTATTATAAATAGGAAAGCCGTAAAGCGTAAAGCAGTTATGGCTAAATTGTTAATATAAATCGTCAGCCTGTTGTATAACATATAAAATGATAGGAAATGATTCATCGCAACAAGTGTCCCGCTCTTACAATCCGTTATGAGCCAACGTACGAATTCACTTTAAGTATACAATTTCGTATAATTTGGTCAGAAACTAAAATAAGACTAACAATAATGTATTCTAACTTACAGGCTATATACATTTTTAAAGTACATAGATAAAATTAGGAAAAGCATGAAATACTTTTAATAAAGAAGCAAAAATCACAGACAATTCCTTTAATACGGCCAGTTTTACATTTTGTTTCAATTCACAATTCAATATAATAATTATTTAAAATTGTATTGTTAATAGTTCCCAAGGCCATCGGAAATTTAAACGTACATCTGTGGGAATTTCAGCAAATACTAAGGGCCGGCGCTCACTCACGGTACGGCATGTCTGCCAGTGAGTCCGCAGCGTTGTAGTGTTGAAATTGAAAATAACTTGATCAGTAATAAAATTCTTTGCCGTATCGAACCGTTAGTGGTCGTCAGCCCTTATATTAAAGCGTGCCACTGGTCCATAAGGTTACACGCGATATTAAAAGCGAATTTAATTTGGCATAGTAATATAATATCGACTAAAGACATTGAAAATATATCGCAGTGGTTTCGCATTTGAAACCGAAAGGTGGGTACAATGACTACATTACGACAAACCTCTAGATGAACTTCGAGTTTACTCAACACGGCCGACTAGGGCCAGTCAAATTACAATGACCAATGACCGAAAAAGCGCGACGTATCTATACACAGTCGGAATGAAAAAGCTAGCAGGACGATTTTTTTTAAATTTTCAAGTAAGTAAGGTAACTTAGGTCGTAAACGTGAAAGTTCGCGTCGCGATAAAACCCTATAGGCTACACCTGCCACGAACTTTCGCGACAACAACACTGTAGCCGGTAAGACTAGAGAAATATCATTCCATTTTCGAAGGAATGTTTTCGCTAACAAGTCGTACGAACTATCGGATACAAATGTATTATTTAAGATAGGCACTGATGTCTAATCTACGGTCTATTATACGTCAACTTTTTGGTGAAGGCATGTTGATACAAACGCTGGTTTGCAGTCGGTTACGATAATAATCCTGCATAAATCTCTCTTTGTCCGAGTTAGTTGAAATGTGTAGACGCGTGTTATATTGCATCGTCAGTCCAGTGGTGATTCGATGATGCCACTGTATCAAGTGTCGTTCGGTGACCGGAGAGAGTGTAATGCGTTACCATGACCAGAGGGACGTCGCCGGTCCAAGAAGGTTTTAAGTTGCTGTGCTGACAGTGTCGTACTTGGTGCCTAGAAAAATATAAATTTGTATATTTTACAACAAAAAACTAGGCCGATTTTTAGATATATAGTGTAATTTTTCTAACTTGACATAAGAACCACAACAAATATGGTCGTTTTTCAAATCATAGACTAGTGATGACCTTTATAGAACTAAGTTGATGCCACAGATGGCACAAGTAAGAAATATCGATTATATATGGACCAAACGACCTCAATATTCAAAATCGCTTTTATGACGAGCTTTTTTAGGTATAATTTTTATTATTGTTTAACTCGATGTTTGTAATGCATTTCAGAAATCGTGATGAGTGGGACTTCTACCTTCTATTGTCGTTAACTTTGCTTACATCCCATCCTTATGTAAATGTCAAACTAAAGAAATTTTAATCTGTTACTTTTGCAAATAATTGTGGTTTATACTAGTCATTAGTTGGGAGAAACTCACGATCTCATGTAAATTGTGTGTTTGTTTACTAAAAATGCCAAGTTAGAAAAAACACACCAACGAGCAGAAGCTTGTGATGTCGTTACCTACCCAGTACATAATATCTTATCAATTTATTATTGAAAGTTTCAAATAGGAAAATATAACATGAAATTTGTGTACCTCTTCAAACCAGGAGTCTGTGAGGGCATCCTTAGGAGTGAGCCGTCTGGATGGAGTGGAGTCTAGTAATGACCTGATTAGACTTTGTGCTCTCTCCTCTATACCGGTCCAGTGCTCCGGCGGAAAACAATAATCACATTTGATTATATTCGCTGTCGTCTCTTCGATAGACTCGTCCAGAAAAGGTGACAACTGAAATAAGGAAAAAAAAGATAGACGTTGCGGACTTTTTTAGAAAATTTAAAGAGGAATTAAAAAATAACCAGTTTGAGCATTCTTACCCCAGTGAGGAACACATAGAGGAAGACCCCAGCGGCCCAAGCATCCCAAGCGGGTGCTGGTGGACGACCAAGCACACACTCGGGCGGCGCAAACTCGAGTTGCGCTGGCGCAGGTGGCAACACCGTCGCGGCCCGGCTTCCCTCTGCCTCCGTCGCACTCATTTCCACCGCCGAACCGAAATCTACTATCTTCAGTTGTGGCTGGGCACCACTTAGTTCCACGAGGATGTTTTCAGGCTGTAAAAATACGTGATAGATAACAATAAATTATTTTAACTATGGCCCGACGTTTCTTTAGTATCGGTGATGATGAAAATAATTTGTAAATAAGTTATATACCTCGCATTTAAAACCGTTAAATAGTCTTATTAAAATGTGTACAACTCGCGTAAACTGTAGAATGTTTAGATAATTATATGTACTAATATTAATTATATTGTAAAATGCCTCTATGAATCCAGAAATGTTTGACATTTGTGGATTCACAGAGGAACGGGTTGGGTCGTTTATTCGAATTTCGCTTTTGCACCGATTATTTTGAACTCTCTGTTATCCTTCTTTAATTTAAATAAAACACTTTAACGGTTTAAAACGCGATATATTAGGTTAACGAAGTTAACAATAATTTTCAAATAAGTTAACTTAATATATCAGATTTTAAACCGTTATAGTGTTTTATTTAAATGTGTACTATTCGCGTAAACTATAAACAGTATTTAATCCTTCTTTAATTTAAAACCTGTTGAGCAGCTACATCATAAATACTATTTTACGGAGATACCAGCCAATGAGTGTTGTAGAAATAAAATTCAAGACACGCCCGTATCGTAAATAATTTTCTATCTGAATATATTTTTAATATATATAATGCACATGTGAATATAAATATTTAAGGTTTCTTTTATCATCAACGATGACACTAAAATAACTTGTGTTATATTTTTTAAAAATATTTCCTTACCCTCACGTCAAGATGAGCAACATTGTTGGAATGCAGCCAGTCAAGTGCTGATAGGAGCTGTTTAGTGTGCATCGCGACAGCTCGTTGCGTATAAGTTTGCGGGGAAGACGCGGCCCAATCTAGGAGGGCGCCACCAGCAACCATTTCAAGTACTATCGTGTGTGCTCCGGCGCGTGGTACCTCAGCGAATAGAGCTAGAGCACGAACCACAGCGCCGTGGGCACCACGGGACAATATTCGGTATTCGCGCATCGCGTCCGCTCCTCGACCAGCTACCACCTGCGATTTAAAACAAAATATTGCTTTAATAAAACACTTTAAACGGGTTAACAAAGTGAAATATATATAATATATTTTGAGTTTTAAACAGATAAAATTATTTTTGCGTAAATTACGAAAATGTTCAATGGTTACTGTTAGTTATATTATTTAATTATAATTGCACTTTACTGACACTAAGTCAATAAGGAACATTCCAAGAAGATATAATTAAATTTAAAAAGGATTAGAACGCTTAATATTTTTTAAATGTTACGTCGTATAAATTATTGTAACTTATTCGCGAAAGTTGTGTCATTTAATGAAAATTAACTAAGTTTTCGTAGTTAAAGAAAAGAAATTACCTGTTTCAAGGCTACCCGCTGTCCTGTCCCAGTGTCTCTGGCGGCTAGTACGCGAGCAGTCCGACCGCGCCCTATCTCCTCCTCTATATTGTATCTCCTCGAGAATTGTTCTCTTTGCCAACCACCGCCACCACCACAAGCCGCTGGTTCGGAAGCTGCACCCGCAGCGTTACTCCGAGCGCAGATCAGGCGGAAACTGTATTGACCAGCAGGTAGTTCTTCTAAGGCCAATGTGTTAGCCGCTGCTGGGGTTTCAGTTGCTCTACGCCACTCCCCCTCCCCCACGCGGCAGTATTCTAAATGTGCCGCTTCAGGCTCGTCCCAGTGCACGACTAGACCACCACCTGGATGCGCTCGCACCGCCGGAATACCAGGCGTACCACCAGAACCAACAGTGAGCCGCGCAGACGACTGAACTCCACCCAGCTCGTTGCCGACGAGACAGCAGTAGACGCCGGCATCGGACGCGCGGCACGCGTGAATCGTTAAAGAGGCTAGGCCATCGGCAGCTAGGCTGATAGCGAAGCGACCACCGTGTCTTAGAGCTCGCGTCTCCGGTGCTGTCTTTCTCCAAGAAGCCGTAGCGCGAGTGGCGTTCGCCCGACATGAGAGTACTGCTGTTGCTCCGGGTGCTACAGTTACGTCCGTAGCCGGTTCTATCAGTTCGGGTGGACGAAGTTCTGTGACCACACCGTCACTGGGCTCGCCCGGTCCGCTTGCGCTGCCGCCGCGACGAAGCTTCAAACCCCAAGCTCTTTTGGATAGACCCTGTCACATACACTGATGATAACTCCACGCACGGGTGTATACTAAGCCATTCATGCACGCCTACCCTATTTCGCAATCAACCCCATCATCCCCTAGTCTTATTATTTACAGTCAATAAATACATATTAAGTTAATTCGACGCTACTTTATAACACTTAACACACTATCGCAGTCTTCAATCTTATCGATCGTATCACAGTCTACGTTAAAAATGCATTCCCGTGTATATCATACCTACAACAAAAGAAATATATAGAAGCGTTAAAGAAACATGCAAAGAAGAAAATATAAATGGCAGAAGAGAAAAAAATAAATTAGATATATATTTGAATAGTCTCCCTTAAAGCAGTTGCTTATATATAAGCTAAATGCAAAGAAGATCCCACATTAACAATACCATAAAAAGCAGTTATTTGACTACGTCAGAGATGTCGCTGATAAAAATATAATAAGCTTTATTGTAACCCTGTATGAAAATGCATTGAGCGTTAAACCCTGTGCATATTATGAAAATTGTTAAAAACATGAATATTTAAGAATATTCCAAGTACCATTCTAGTTTAATACTTACATTAGCATGAGGCGGTGAGGTCGGGCTCACAGCAGAAGTGGCCTTCTTGTGGTCGTCCCTTGCGCTCGTCGGTAGATTAATAGTGTTGGCCTTTGCATGTGGCCGCTGAGTCCTCGTGCCTAACTCTGGTGCCAGTCTGTCGCCCAATGAGGGCGATACACTTTCCGCCTTCCGTATCCCCCACCAACAATCACTAAACGGATGGGAAAAGGACGGGTTAAAATTAAAAAAGAAACAAAAAGAAAACAATGGGCACGCCAGCTTTGTATACATCCAAAGTAAATCTAATTCTAATCTTACGTAGCCTTAAGGATTATATGTCAGCAAGTTTAGCTCAGCACTGAAAAAGCTGAAAGCTGGTCCCATTAAATAAAAATAAATAAAAGTACATAATAAGCATGCGGGACTATAAGCATTAAATCACAAAGCGTTAATTTATCCACATTTATTGGTTACTTGTAAAATATGGTTACCGTTACAGTGAGTTAGCTTTAGATATATACAGCACAAATCAATATTCGACAATATATATACAGACTACAGATTATAAATATATAGATCGGTGTTACAATAGTTCGTATATCTACTAAGACGTGATTATGTCGTGCAGTTAGTACTAAGAAAATATACGAGAAATATTAGTAAGGTACAATGCTAAATCAATGACAGATTTGTTGAGATAGGATATTGCTATTTCATCAAACGTTACATCTTACGTTATACACCATATTATTTATATTACGACCCGTAAAAAATACACACGTTCACTGCGGACCCTATCTTAAACATCTACGTAACTTATTACAAAGCAAGCTTACATGATCGTTATTCTCATTCTTTTATAAAAATGTTTCCTTCACCAGGTGGAAGACAATGTATCTGGCTAGATTTTTAACAAACACGGACCGATATTTAACGTTACGCAACTATTTGATCTCCTTTTCTATACAAACCTAGCGGATTTACATGCAAGATAATTTGTTACTGTTATTATTTAACCAATAACCAACATTTTTTTTTATTGTTCTCATCTCTAATGAAATATTGAAAATATCACAAAATATTCAAAACATTTATATATTTTATAATTTGTATTGAAATTTAATCGATTATATTAAGGTTTTTCTTGCGAGCTGTTACCAATAAGTGCAATTAAAAATCGGTCTCGTTCGTTAAAACAATCAGATTTCAATTACCATAAATTCGTTAAAAGCGGACCTTTCGAATATTAAATAGCGCGGCGTAGCGATCTATGAATAAAATGCTCAATTAAATCACATTGTTTTTATCCAGTCTTTATGACGCAGATACAGCATACCTACGCAACACTTTACAACAGCATTTTCAAGAAGTAACTAAACGAAACTAAACGAACTAATAGAACCCCCTATTTTCTATGAGATATTTTCGAGGGCAAATTAAATTTCAGATTCGTGTCAGTACAACGGAACAAAGCATACTAATTTCTATTCTAAATTTTCAAATTATATATTACTTCCAGAAAACCATATATAAAATGTCGCTACATGCTCGTGTGTTACTTGTTGCAACCGTGGTTTGAAATAAGCAAATCCTTTACAAGTGTAAAGTGTGTGTTACATCAACTTACAATCTACGTATAAGTATATCAACCGATATGTATATAATACAAAGATTACTATACTAGGTGACATTTCAAAATGTTAGATATGGAACTACAGTGGGAAATAATCTCAACCTACGGTCTACACATGCTGTGTTTGAATATTCTCTGTGGTATTACTGTTTTAGTCTACTATAAGTATATTACAAGCTGTATATTTGATATACTTCAATGCTAGATTTTGGGGCGTAAATCATTATGTACAGTAGACCGTTAATAATAGAACTGTAGCTCTTTACTTATTGCATACTAATAGTTAAATATCATAAAGAATCTACTGTATATAATTAGTTTATTATATAACCTAAGTCGTTCTAAATACTTTTTTGTATATATTAGTTGATGTCCAACCTTTTCTTTTTATTACACATGAAAAATGATTAACGATTGTTGGTTTGAATGTAATAGTAGTCGCGGTTTTTGTTGAAAAGCTATCTGTCTTAAAGTTCAGTATTAGATAGTATAAGACGTGAAAAACTTTTATTATAATATCACTCCGTCTTATATCGTCATGAGATATAAAATGTGGAATGTATTTTATTTTAGTTCGTTTATTCCTTAATTATAGTAGGAATGTCTAAGGGAGTAATTTAATAAGAGCAATTGCAGTCTATTACAATGAAATTTGGACTAGAATGTATAAGGCGTTAAAATCGGTGCTCATTTATTACTATCAACACTGATATCACAAAGCGCACTCAATAATTATCATAACATTACATGAGGGTAGACGGTAAAAATTAAAAAAGGGACGTTAGATGTCCGTACGTGACGATTTCGTTTAGAATATTATACACAGATAATAAATAATTAAAAATATTTGTAGATACGATATGTATCTGCCTATTAAGATAAGCATAGGAAAGAAAAGGACTATAAAGAATAACATTATACAGATATCGTACGGTTTACCACAGAAGTCCGTCATATGAAAAATACACATTATAATAATTGGACCAGAACAACAATATCAAATAACAAACCTCCCTGATGATAGTGTAGTGTATCCTAGCGTTAGCTAAATATGATAGCGATGTCTTAAGCGGTACAATAATGAATTTAGTAGATAACCACTAATTACTAATTCAATTCCGAATTCCTATTCTACCGTTCTAATAAATAGGTCATATTGGGTATAATTTAAAAGTTGTGACGTAATATGGCAGTATTATTTTATTGCGATTCCATTTCTAGGTTCGTTGGGGACGTAAGGTTGGCCCCTGCTCCTTACATTTTCAGGCTACAAAAAATAATGCTTATTTTTAAAATACATAAAATACAATGTGCGTGCGATTCTCATCCATATTGTACTGGCAACTATAAAATCTTATTAACAGTCGATCCACGTTAGTTCGTTACTTTCGTATAAGGCAAAGCGTTTGACAGGTAGCAAAATAGCTTGACAAGCTAAAGCATAGCCAATACATAGGTGATACTGCGAATTAATTCTAAAATTAGATTGTTACGATTAGTCTAACCAACACAAATTTAGTTGGCATGGGATACGCACCATAGATAAAAACATTTTACTTATATTTTTCAATGTGCTTTATTCGCTTGATTTTTTTGCCCGTTGCTTTGGTCTCCTATAAAAGCTAGGGGCGCGTACATTGCACTTCCGCAAAACGTCTAATTGTTCTGCCGAAGACTCTTTTACTTATCTTTTGAAAAATACCATTAAACATTACAGTATGGCACTATATAATTAAAAATCGATTATAAATTGAAAGAAAATATGACACGGGCACCACTTGAACGGACATTCACAGCGTTTCGAGTGGTTGTTGCACACTAACTAAAAATCGGGCGCAATGTAATTTCTTTACACGCAGAGGTGCATGTATCGATAGGTTAAAATAATTTGACTATGACGTGTAGGTTACAATAGCTTAATTGGTGGTAACAACAGCACGGAACGCTGTGGGTGCCGGTTCAAGTCCTGCCCCGTGTCGTTATTTTTCCTTTTATTTATAATCAATGTTTAATTTATTAAAGGAATTTTTATCAATTGTGATGCACAGTTTGTCTATTTATTGCTGAGGAGATATCGTCACAGAAGAAATATATATCGCGATATGCACGCGATCCGCGGCGTTGATAGGAGACCGAGTCCTTAATAAAAACTTACGCGGATGGCTCCCGCGACGGCTCGTCGTTCATAAAAGCGCTGGGGTTCTCAAGACGCCTGCCGAATATGAGCTGCGATTCCAGAATGCTGGAAAGAGTGCTGATCCAATGCTGTCGGCGGCCCTCAGCAGCGCGGCAAACGAACGAGCGTGGCTTGTTCGACTTCGAGTGCACTATGAACACATTGCTCCCCTCCTCGTGTTCAAGGCACATTTTGTTGACCTGAGAATAAGTTTAGGGGTAAAAACGATCTCAGAATAGATAAATGAAGGTATGCGTATTGGAAACAATAATTTATCAAAATAGGGCATAACACATTTCAATTATAAAATAATTTCAAATCAAAAATATGAAACAATTTTAAGTTCAGATATTGTTTTTTTTTTTACTGCAGAAACTTTTTTTTTATTTTTTGGTCGATCGAAATAAAGAATTGAAAATATATGAATTTAAACCTGTTATCAATGTCTTTCTCCAAAGATCTCCTCTCCTATAGGATATAGTTTTATGTTCTCATATCCACCACGTGGTTATATTTTAGCGGGGTTTAACAACAACTTTCGTTTATATAGAAATAATTATGGACTGAAATATGCAACTAATATAGTTTTACCGATCAATTTACCAATCTCCAAAGTAATATCGGGACTTTTTAGCGTGATTATTTTATAATCAACTCTTACCTGTACATGAGCCTTGTAGTGGTAAGTAGGGCTTGTGAACTGCGTCCTTTTTCCCACTGGCTCAGTGAATATCATACACTGCTGGAATAGAAACACGTGCAGCTCCTTTCCTTTGTCGTTTGTCCCTTCAGACACGATCAGCGGCTCTTGGAACAATAACTTGCCTTGCGCCGCTATGTTCCCCTGTAAGAGAAATGGCGGCGTTTTAAATATTATATTAACATTTATACGTTATGTAGATCGCTACAGAATAAGCTAATTTTATATCTACTAGCTTATAAAATTCGCCTTAGCATTACGTATTCATTCTCTGTGACTTAACTTAGGTCACATAATATAAAGCCATTATAAGCCACATTGATTGTGTTTGTTAGGTTGATTTTTTACGCAATTATTCAGAAAAAGCGGGCAACTTGAAAGATAAACTGGCATTTAGCCAAACTGTTATTTAAAAGATAATTTTGCATAAAGCCTATTCTTTTTAACATCGTTTTCATGCAACCTAATGTGAGAGACCAATAATAAAACGAAAAAACCTTTATTTGTTTCAATAGTATTTTTTACAACATACATTGTCTCCGCAACCGAAACAAATTTGTACATAAATATTTTTTGCATAGCATTCAAAACATTCGCTGCTCGAAACAAAGCAAAAAGTACAATTGCTGTAACGTAAAAGTTACTGCATTAAACAATTCGCAAGCGTCAATTCAATAAAACAATGAAAACGCTACACAACAAATGTGAATATATTCATAACAACTTAAATATATAACTATTGAAAATCAGAGTTCGCAAACCTTTGGTATATTTTTATTTTAATAAAAATAATGTCTGCATACCGTAAAGCCTTGCAGGCGTCCAACATCCATCATATCGTTAGCATTTTTTGGTATGATGGAGGTGCATTGCACAGCGTCACGAAGGGAGTCTATGACGTTGGGCGGCTCGTTGGCGACCTCTGTATACTTCAGGATTTTATTCACAAGTAAATGGTACTTCTGTATGCGCTGGATCGGCTTGATTAGAAGATCGCCCAGCTGGAAAATTTTAATTTATTTTTTAATTACATCCTAAAAAGATTACCAAAGATTATCTTAAAAATATTTTATTTTTAATCTGTTTGTTCAAATCGTATCGTTAGAGTTTGCATGTCAAAACGTATCGCTGGATAACGTTAATAACGTCCAATATACAATCAATATTTATAATTATATTTTTCCTTTTATAGGTAAAAGTATTTTATTCATTTGCGTGTATCGAAACGATTTGTCATCGACGCGCCATCGATTGACAATTTAGGATCGTGAGACATGGCTCTGACAGTTGTTTTACCTGTTTTGATAAGTGTTGTAGGTAAATTAAGAATTCCCTTTAATTTACCTTTCTATAAACTCATTCTGTTTTTTACATAACTCAATTTATATACTTAAAGAGTCTCTTAAGACTATTTATTAATTCTAACCTCAAAAATATTATTTATAGTTATAAGGCGATATTATATAGTTAACGCGACATATTTAAGTTAAACGTGTTTGAAAATTATTTTTAACTACGGCCCGTAGTTTCGGATGCTTTACAGCAGCCGTGGTCAGCGATATATCGCGTTTTAAGCCGTTAAAGTGTTCATTTTTATTTAAATGTGTACTACTCGCGTGAACTACAGACGATATTTGTTATGTTTTGCTTTCTAAATTTCTTCATACAGAGTGGCATTTAATACATCAAAGTAAATCAAACTCTAATACAAATTTGGCCATTTTTCTTTAGAAATTTAATTGATAACAAAGAAAGTGTTTTATGACGATTTTGATTTCAAGCGGTTACATAGAGTATTATTTTATATATTATATTATTAGGAACATTTTTATTTCATTTAAACTTTTTGAATCGTCTTCTATGAGAAACATGATGCTACGCTTGAGTGGCAATGGTTTATACTCACTTATGTGCATGTTTTTAAAAATTGATTAGGTTAATTATTTTTTTGGTGTTTAGTATTGTATAAACTTATTATAGCTTTAGTGTTACCCTTATTATTAATTACTAGCTGGTGCCCGCGACTTCGTCTAAGCAGGATTAGGATTAGGATTATGTAGTATCGCGCATTTAAACTAAATGATGTCTATCATATCATACATTACATAATTATGTGTAACTAACGTTTATGGCAGCGCACGCGAGAATAGCTCGCAGAAAGGTAGGTGTTTTTCCAGTTAATTGAAACTTAATGTCATATTTTGGACAGCTCACACAATATCTTTGTAACCTACGTGTTATTCTGACGTATAAACTATATTAATATGATACATTGTTTCAATTAAACTTTCCAAAGTTTAAGAAACCATTCAGTAGTTTTAAGAGTAAAACACCACCCACATACCACTACGTTTAAATATTAGTAGGATTATTTTCAATACCCATCTTATAAAGTTGCCTAGAAGTAATTAGCTTTTTAGCGCTAAGGCCGCCGTTTTTTGGCATTTCTTCAAATTACATCTTATTTCATTATATTGTGGCGCCAATAAAGTATTTTGTGTTCGTTTGTATGTTGAAGGTAACCTTAAAAATTAATAAGACCAGCAGTAGGTCTTCACCTGAAGTTTATGTCCCAGTTTGTGTCGCAGGTCCTGGAAGTAGTGCTCGTGCTCCGAAACAATGTACTCGGAGACGGGCTTGTTACGGCAATACGCCTCGTAGAGGAACATCTTCTTCTCCAGGAAACGGCGGAACAGCGGGCCCAGAAGCTCAGGCGACTCGATGCACGACTCCAGCTCTCGCAGGAATTTACTGCACAAACACATTTATTCACAACTACCTGTGTCGGTAAATTCGTCCGCGTAGAAGTATTTGAGCATCCTTCCTTCCTTCCTCGATAAATGGTTTAACTAACACAAAATGATTTTTTCAATTCGAACCAGTAGTTCCAGAACTTAGCGCGGTCAAACAAACTCTTCAGCTTTATATATAAGTATCGATATAGATGACAAAACATATGAGATCGCTAGCGTGGCGCATAAAAGAGAAACAAAAAACAATCGCAAAGCCTATAAAACTCGCGAGCAACGCAGGTGTCATGAGTATTTGTCCGTAAGTGCTCGTTAAATCTTGTCGTTAATGAGATCGTCGACGTCTCTCTGGCGGGTTCCCTATTGTATTGGGGAATAGCTTTTACACAGCGGAATAGTCAAATGGGGTCTACTCACTCGCGATGCCATTCGTAGATGGCCTCGATGTTGCCGAAGATCATGCGCAAGCGACGATCGCGGAGTCCTTCCGGTATTGGTGGGTCCGCGTTGGGATCCTGTTTAAACAAATTATTAATGTAGGTGTATTTTTAAATAAAACACTTTAACGGTTTAAAACGCATTAGTTAGTTAGACTTATTTGGAGATTATTTTAACTAATATATATCGCGTTTTAAACTGTTAAAGTGATTTTCTTGTGTGTATTTGTTTATTTTTTTTTAAATTTCTACTGCGTATTAGCTTTAGTTTATATAGAAAACTCAACAATATCTCTATAAAAATAATTTAAAAACTTTTATATATATGACAAGTGTTGTTTATGTTTACATTACATTAAATCTTATGTTAGTAGTGGATATGTAATGTAAGTACTATAGTATATAGATCGATCTAAGTATTACTTTAGTTCTAGTACATATAGTATACAAACCGTCATGTGTTTAATATATCCCTCGCAGACCAGGCGCAAATCCGAGACATACACCTCCTCTGTCTCATACAGCTCACGGAGTACATATTCACGTTTCTTGAGTGTGGCCTCGCGGCTTTCAGCTACGGGTGTCGCCGTGCTGTCCTCGTCTTCACCGTCGCCGGCACGACCGGATGTACTTGCAGTGCCGCCGTGTTGTTCCTAGATATGGAACGAACAATTTAGGTCATGTAATAAAAAATCAATCAAACATTTCAAACCCTTAAAATAGTATAACTTAAAATAAATTAACTAACAAATTTTCAACCACAACAGCCTCGACGTTGGTGAAACTATAGTATAAAAAATAAATTAGTTTATATTGTTGGCGTTTTAAACTGTTAAAGGTGTTTCATTTCACGTGTAGTTACTACTCGCGTAATACACTGATTATGCTTCACCAGCTGAAATGGCAATGGCAATGGTTTATATAGCAATGAAAATACGAAGTTTGTGCAGTTACCAAAAGAAGCAAGCGACAGCGCCGTGTACTATTTAAAAACATTTTATCGGAGTTGCTAACTATTGCATACATTTTTTTAATGTATTTTGTAACTTATATTGAGATCCACATTTTTAATTAAAAAAAAGTGTAAGTTGTTTATAATTTTATTACAGAACACGAGTATAAAGTTTAAAGCCCCACTCGTACAATTAACACCGGGTGTTACTAAAGCCAGCACCATTAACAAATACGCGCTTTCTTTGTGCGTTGTTAATTGCGATAAGTTACCGCTTTTAGCCGTTCGATCTTATCAGCATAATAAACGAAAAATTTATGGAACACGTCAGTCGTATAACCAAGTTTTTAGCTTTGCCATCTATATACATGCAAGCGATCTAGTTAAAGCAAGCAAGAGCATATACAGAATCCCAAATACCCAATAAAATGGAAGTGCATAATAAATAAGACACACACATTGTAACCTTACATTTGTAAGTGATATTATAAATACAAAAGTGAGCTTTATTTCGATCGCCATATAGCAATCGTATGCTGATGAGTTATTTATAATCCAACCGATGAAAGCTCAGATAATACACGTCCGATGTAATATCTGGCTCAACGCAGATTTACGCAAAATTGAATTGAGCGACCGCACACAACTCACGTATTAAGTCCAAACGAATCTTCGGCTTCGAAAAGTACAAAAACCTTTTAGTTTACTTTGTTTAAATTCATGTTAAATTATTTTTTTAGTATTAAACAAAACTTTTTTATTCTAATTTCGAGCGAGACAGAGACGGGGATGAAATAAACTTTGCTGTTATATTTGCGTACAAACAAAAGCCCCAGTCAAAACAATTATTATAATGACTACATTTTGTAACACGTTCCTTCGGTTTGGCCGAAAAGGTGTGATTAAGCGACTTCGGAAGAAATTCCGCCTTCGATTGGCCTCTACCTATTTTGCACACACTTAACTACATTTATGTCAATTTACATTGCGATGTTTATGAAACGGAAATAAGATAATGCAAAATTATAATAGTCAATTAATCGGTCAATGTCATTTTATTATAGTTCAATGACACAGGCGAGAATTTTATTCGCTCGCAAGATGTCCGACTCCTATAGTGTTCATCTTGTTTTTAATTTTAAATTTGGGTCAAGAGCTTGTCCGTAGTAATTGGCGTTTTTATTTTTATGTCGTCGGTTTTATCTAAACAAATGTTCGCTTTTACTAGCAATTGAATGATGTAGGAATGTTTTAGAAAATCGCGAATATTTAATTGCTATAAAAACACACAAAAACACGCACACAAACAAAAAAATCATGCGCACTATACATGCTTTTATGTAATCCGAACCATTTTTTCCTTGACAATCTGTTCTATCTCGGCGATATCGGCGGGACCACCGTTAGGTTCCAGGGGGTCCATTGCCAACGAGTTCTGAAAATGTCACCAACATTTCACCCTTAATAATAAGCACCTACCACCCGAAGTGTTAGTTACATGTTAGACGAGAAAGTGAAAGTTAATTACATATAAAATGTTGGGGTTATTTCATTTGAAATGTCTGTTAGAATGGATTCACTCACTCGTGTAGTGGGAACCGATGCAGCTGTAGTTGGTGTCGGCGCCTGTTGAAGTACAGCTTGCGGATTCTGTTATAAAGGAAACATATTAAATTCAACATAAAAATAGACAATAATTTTATTGCCTCGCAGACGGGAAAGTGCTGTAAGGAAAATTATTTTACTTCAACATAAAAAGTATAGAGCTAATATCGACGTCTGGTGAATTGTTTGCAGCGGAAGTATTTTTCATTCTACGTTCAGAACGCGTTCAACTTGAGCACGCCAAGAATCTTCGATACACGGCGAAAGTAATGATATTCAGTTTTCATTTTAATGCAATTTAAATAGTCATATGAAAGGCCACATCCCGTTTCGTTGATCGTATTTTGAAGATTACCTGAGCCCAAATTACCTGATAACTTTTTTTTTCGTGATTCGAACACTATTTTGCCTAATTCCTTATATCACAAAGGTGAAACGGTGAAGAATAATACAGCGAAATCATGAAGTAAATTCAAGTCAGTAAATCGAATTCCAATAAAAGATGCGATTCAGTCCCAATTGAGTCGGAAAGAGTGATGCGTTCCGAAGGTCAGGGCTATCGACGTAAGTGTTATTTTAAGAATTCGCATCCTGTGCGAACTAGAAAGATAAGCATAGAACGATCCGAATCCCTATACTACATACGCCATACAAACATTTTCTCCCTTCAACTAACAATGGAATGTCTTTCACTGGCAACCATCGCTTAGTTTTGATGTAGAAAAATTGTGACCAATTTAAATTAAGCTGCACTATGAATGGAAACGTGCAGAAAAGAAAATGAAATAGTCTTTGAAACCCCTTGAATGATTTTAAAATATTCGAGTTCACATTTATTTCTGAGAAAAAGTGTATTGAATGCTACGTTTTTATGTTCATAGAAAACAGTATTTAAATATTTATTATTTGTGTAAAGCTAATTAAAATAAATAACTGTATCACACTGTAAATACATCATTTTACGGGACGAAGATATCCTAACTATTAAGCTTAATATGAAACTAATAAGGTGAACAATTAATAACATTAATAAAAAAAAATGTATGGCATTCAAATACGAGTCTACGACGGAGTTTGTTAAGAATCTAGTTTTTTTTTTGACAGAAGTGGATATACAAGCATGCAGTTCAATTGATGTTAAATGCCCGAGTTCTATAACATCTAAATAAATGTGCGGTCAATACACTTTGGGTTAGAAGAATGGGAAATTAAATTTCTGTGGACCGACTGAGAGAAATTTCTATAAGATTGCCGAATCAAAAAACGATCACATGCTAGACCCCTAGGAAATCAAGTTCACATTCTTTTGATTAGCCACACATTTCTACCACGAGACCAGTGAGCCAAGCTTGACATATACCCAGATTCTTTACAGTTCACCAGAGACAGAATGCCAAGGTAGTTTCCGCGTACCTATGCACAATGTTCGCGTTAATTCGATAGCATGGGGAGGCGCTGGTGAGCTATTCAATTACAAATAGAGGGCCGGTAACGTAATAAAGTGAACATGTATCCATTACAGCGTGAGTGAAGTTAACGAGATGCCAGTTTCGTGTCAGTGAATGGGATCTGAAACTGTGACAATCGTCGGGTTGACGACCATTTACTATCACTGTGTTTAAAATGCATATGTATGCAATTGTCCATTCGTGTTTTATTACCGTAAGGTATATAATAACTGGTAAACATTACAAATTCGAAGATTAATGCGCCTCTATAAAGAAAGATGACCAAGAAAAAGAAGTGTAAAGACATATTTATATGAAACTAATTTAAGTACCTAAAGGTTGAGCTTTTTTTAAGGAAAGTTCGGCTAGGAATGTAAGTTTAGACACGTCGTGCATATTGAGAATTTCAGAAACGACTAAATGTGAACAACGCTGAGTTGTTATTGTATATATTTTTGTATATTTTCTACCGACATGTCCACGGACTATAATCTAGCTATTAAAAGGATCATAACTTACACAAACGTAGAACAAATCAAAATTATGTCTCTTTATTATAGGATCCGACAGAAATCTAGTTTTAGTGTTTTATACATAACAGTTTTATGTAAGTCCTATAAAAATGCTAAATTGAGCTAGGATCCTCTTGGTGTCTATTAAAGGCTTCTTTAAGTTAAGTTTGTCATTAATGTACATTCCCATGAAAACATTCACGGTTAGTTAGAAATAGCCAAACAATGTGTTCATTCGGTTTGATAAAGGAGCAGAGAGGGTTTGATTGGCAATCAGTGCGGTCCCCTCTTGCCGGGCAAAGTGACTCGCCTTGCCTTGTACCAAGGGTATAGGCAAGGTGAAACTGTTTGTCTAGGAACTGTCAAAGTTATAGAAAGTTCGTTAAGCCTAATAAATTTCCGAAAACAAATGAATTAACTCACTAAAACAATCCATTGAAATTGATATTTTCAATTAAGAATAAAAAAATTAATATATCGCGTTTTAAAGTTAAAGTGCTTTATTTAAAGTATTTTACTCGCGTTAACTATAGACAGAGAATAAATTGCTCTATTGTACCTTTCGAGGGATTTATGGTAGTTGGACTAAAGATTTAATTAAAATGAGAAAAAGCATAACCCGTTGACATTTACTACTATCACACCGAAAATATACAATTGTCTCTTTTCAAACTATTGTGGTGTTTGACAGCACTTACAGTAATATACTCACAAGCTAAATATGTTCAGCTAAAACAATTGAAGCTACAAAATTACAACAGCGATTCACATTTGCGCGTAGACGAAGTTATGTGACTCCATGTCTTGTTGCATTAATTCATGAAATACCAGAGCATTCCACTTTTAAACTTTAGTGGATGCAGAATAATTATTTCAATCTTTAACGTAGGATGTCAGAATAATTGTAATTAGACCGTTTCTCTAAAAACTACGTCGTCTGAAGAGTTTTAGCCTGGCTCCCAAAACAATGGAATGTTATGTACGATGCTGTGTACGATTTTTAAATTGTATTACAATAATCAACTTACCTGTAAGGGTTTCATCGGTGGTGGTAATTCCACATCTGGCACGTCATCTTCGGCTTCATCCAGCGCTGTTCCAACGCTGCCTTCCCCGACGTCGTCTGTTCGACCGTTATCACTGTATGGTATCTGAACCAAAAGTAACTAAAATGTATAAAGGGTCGTTTAGGTTAGATCAACAAGTAACTGCTTCAGAAATCCTAAATAGTATTATGAATATTAATATTCGCAACTGCCTTTTCATTGTTATTTGGACAGAAATATATTTTCATATAGTTTTGATGTTCGATTTTCATTTCAAATATTATTGAATCCTGTCATTACAACGTAAACTCAACATATTTCACACAGATCACATTGTGATATAAACATTAATTTCAACTAGCCACTATACGATAATAATATTTTTTGTTATCCCTGGGAACTTGTAGCTTAAATCTATTATGTGAAAGTCAACTTAAAAATAACATAGTACCGTAGATAGAGATATTACCTTAATTTTCTTTTCTGATGGAACCTTTTTGAGGGCAGGCTTCTCCGCGGGCGACTTAGCTCCCGCTAATGTCTTTTCAGCTTTTCCTTGTGACTTGTTCGGCTTCGGGATCCATCTCCTCCTAGACATATTATAATTTAGAAAATTAAAACATGTATCCCTATATAAATTACTCAGAAAACGTTACAAAGGAACGCATTCAGCTACTCAGAAAGCAGCTTTCCGCGTAAGTTGAAATGATTATATTTAGCTGAATGAAAATTACTAAAACATGAATTGTGTCCGTATTTATTTTGCTTTCGACTGTCCCCTCCATTCTAGTTCGACGCTCCGACCGCATTTGTCCTCGCTTAATTATATATACACAATAAACTTCGACACAGTACGTTATATTGCTCGGAATTTCATCAACTAAACACTGTATAATATTCCGTTCAGTGGATACCGATGCGGCAGGAGAACTTTATAACGAAATTGTTGAATTGAAATCGAAACGAAACTTTTTGAACAAAGGATTTAAAACTCGACGCAAACGTCATGTTCAGGAAGCTGGAAGATGAAGTTGCTTTTTTAATTAGAAGTACACCTAGAGGTAAAAATGTTACATGAAATGTAATTGTTATCGTTTGAAACAGTACATGTAGACGTGTTTATGCACAAGCGAGTCAATAATTTTTTTTTAGGGTTGGTGGTGTGACAATGGCGGGATTCGAAACTGCGACCGCGCACCATCCTTTACCAATTGCTCTATCGTGTCTTCTAGATAATAATCGTATTCTCTTGAACAGGATCGCGCTCGAGTAGATCAACAGTATGTTACCCTCTTGATCGTGGGTCATAGTTCGCCCGTTTCATAAAAATATATAAATCTAAAATAAATTTCAAATGAATATAATACTTTAATTCAAGACGTTTTATGCTAATGATCGGAAACATATTTAGGTGTTAAATTAGCGTGCTATCAAACAGTATTCGAGCAATGTATCCGAACTTCAAGGACCGCGCGCCGCATTGCGGTCAAATTGTGATAAAAAATACCCAGGGTTTGTTTGCATGTTTTTGTTACCTAAATGTAATATGTAATGTGACAGCAGTCAAACAACGCCGAACGTTTTAACTATGTATATACGTATATTTCGTACGTAATCCCTAATGTAACCTACTTAAAATTAATGGCCAATTACTTAAATGGTTCGGGACCGAAACTTCCCACAGATTTTTAATATTTTAATACATTCGTATACTCTCTATAATTAAGGTTTTAAAGGGAATAACAAAAATATCGATTGACAGGTCGAAGCGCCGACAAAGAGCGGTTCTTCTGAAAACAGCGTTATCCAATACGAATTATTATTTTTTCATTTACGTGCATGTCCGGTTTTAATTAAACATTGTGGTTACGATGGCTCCCTATCGAAATACAAATTAAAGCCAGGCACGGTTCTCAGTACTTTTACATTTTATAATCAACCACAATTCTAGTATCGATACACTAGAAATAACAATCACTCAGATTATGCAATCACATTATTATATGTGTAACTCGATTCAGTTATTGACGCTTCTCGTTGCAAATAAGTAGAGAAGATAAAGATTTTTTAAGCTCTAGTTACAAAAATGTAACTTTAACTATCTACTAATTACTTTATGACTACCTACAAAATAGAAATTTCAACATTCGAAATTAACTGAGTAAAGTCTTCCGTTAGTAAAATCCTACTTACTTGGAAAACACTAATTGACTCCACATAACTAATAATTTCACTTGACATACAGCACATCACTGAACAAGAGTATATTCACAACCACTGCGTGCGCGCACCAAAACGATGATTACACAAATAAACGCTCTGTTGGCGCAAATATTCTTATCGAGCCGTCTGTGAAAAAGTCCAAGTACCGCGAGGGTGTCGTTATCTATCTAGATTCGATAATTTTCTTATCTATACGCGTAGTCACTTCAAGAAGGGCTCGCGAACGCTCGGAGCGGACGCGACTGTCCGCGCGAGTCGCGACAACCAGCCAATGCCATCAACTAGCTCCCTTTAATAACATTGCACATCAATTAAGCTTGCTATCCCTTGTCACTGGGCCAATCGTCGAAATGCCGTTTACTACGTGTGACGTACAACACGCCGAACAAAACACTGACACGTTCTTATTGAAGATATTCCATGGGTATTTTTAATTGTACACTGAAACGTCGCAGGTATGAAAGATAAGATATGGCTGAGCGATGTAGAGATACAGAAGTGTAGGTATTTCTTAGTATCAAGGCGATGTTGTTATTTAAAGATTGTTCTGAATGGAAGCGAGACTTAAGTGAAACGAAACGGCGACCATTAAAGAACACACGAACTATGACAGGGCCGGTACTGTAGGTAATGAGATAGAAAGACAAATGTCAGTTAACAAAAATGCTAATTACAATTAAGTAATTAGGGAGTTCAACAGTTAAGTATTACCAAAAAACTAATTAGGGTAATGTGGATCAACAAAAGAATGAGCCTACGTGCAAAAATCGAACCGTAATGAGGTTTAATTTCAAACTCAATTAAGGAAATTCGTATTTCGATGTAATTGAGCTTTCGGACAATTATTGTGTTTACATAGGTCCTCATTCTCCTCTATTAGCAGTCCTATTATTACAGTAATTATGCCCGATCAGGGCAATATTCAGATGAATTGGTTTGGTCTACGCATCAGATCGTACTATTCGCGTACAAACAGATAATAATTAGAATGTGTACGTGGCCGATGCTAGTATGAACCATCCATACGATTTTCTAATAATGCATGTACATTCACGACAAGATAGGGCTGAGCGCACAATTATTGTCCCTTTGACAACAGGTAGACAAGAAAATTACACATCACATACAAATTGCGAAACGAACAGTTGACATTTAAAATACGTTACATTATTAGAATTGGAACGTATTTAAAATTAGGTGTTATAAGTAAGACCTGAGTGTGTTTTTCTTCTTATTGATAGAGGACAGACAAACATGCGGTTCAGTGATTGGTGAAATACTCCAGCTATATAACATCTACACAATGCGCTGTCGTCCTTTTTATTTTGGCTTCGGATATTCGGAAATCCACAGACTGAAACTTTTTCATGTGTTTATGGACGGTTATTCGTAAGCCGTATGGAATTTAGATATTCTCACCACCTATTTAACATGTAAAATCCAGACAAAGCTAGAGTTAGAGCCCACGATTCGTTGATTATTAGACATGCATTGGTACTACACCAACGAGCTCGTCAAATATTGTAATTACTTGAGATAGTATTTATATTATGTCGCGTGATAAATGATTTAGGTCAGGTCACTGTAAAGGTGATGGAGATGAGAAAATTAAAAAAGAACCTGATCATCCTACAGCAACAATCCGTTATCCGGTTGCGGTCGGTACTCTGTCGCCCTTCGTACATTTTATTGCGAGATGCAAGACACGATCTCTCGACACAAAACGACTGAACACACTATCAAGTAAGGAATTAGATAACACACGCGAAAGATAAAGGATGAGTAATGAGTGACGGGGAATCGTAGCGCGATCAGATGATTTAGTAATGCTCCAAAAACTATAAACAAACAAGGTAACTCACGGTATTATTCCCTTCCTATGTTTTCCTGGGCTAGCGGCACTCACGCCTCCCGGGTCCGAAGTCGAGGCCTCTGCAACAAAACGGTAAAGTTATAATTTTACGTAAATACATATTTTAAACTTCGAAAACGAAAAATATGATACAATACTTACAATCAACTTAATAGTCCACTTTTTTATCAAGTTTCAAGTAGGTATAGTTATTTGATTTTGATATTGTGTTTAATGGGTTATTAAATATCGTTATTAACAATTTCATTTAAATCACCACACACAGTAGTATGTTCGGTAAATCATAATTTTAAATTTCGTGACGTTATACTATAATAGATAGACGTTATAATATAAACAAGTTAATTAAGCCACGATAAGTCAGCAGCATATCTTCTTTAGATGTTATGTGGCTTGGCTATTTCACCTTCCACCTTCTAGAGAATCTTATCCTTGTCTGTCCTCTTCGATCGTAAAAAAACATCTTAGACTTATTTAAAATTCGAATTTTGCAAAATCGCAAGGTGCAAATACCCTGTTATCACAATTCGATAATTTTCGACGAGGATAAATAATTTTCACGAAACAACTAACTTCGTTTAACCCTCACGTCGATGGCATTGAGGGAATAATTTATTCAGATAAGCCTTCGGGGCTGTTTCGCGTCAATGTAACGAGTGCGATATTAACTGGCCCGTAACACTCGCTTGAAATAAAAGATCGAATATAAAGGTATTGTGTTTCCTTATTTATGGAATATGTGAGTGATTTTATGGGCATTGACAAATGTTATTGATGCATGTGAAAGGTATAAAATTTTTATTTTTCGAGTATGTGTAATGCGGCTGCTTTGAAAATAGCTAGATTGTTTTCAATGAGAAATTTACAGGTTAAAGCAGTAACGAACTTTTAAATGTGTCAACACTACATTGCACTGGTTGTAGACGAATTTTAGTTAATTCGGAGTTTGTGGTTAGCGGTATAATTTTTATAGAAAAATATTAAAGTTTTCAAAACGTTCAACGCTGTAATTTCATCTCAATGATTTTCTTAAGCTGCATATCATAAAACTAAACCTTAATTCGTTAGTAATAAGGATGAAATTACATTTCGTGAGAGTTACATGTATAAGTTAAAAAAAATATACGATGACGTGTAGGACACGGTAGCTCAATTGGTTAGAGCAACACGGAAAGAAGTGGATACCGGGTCAAGTCCTAGCCGTGTCTTTTTTTTTATATCTAAAATCGATTTGTACCTTATATAATGTCATCATGTGAAAAGTATAAAAGATTTCAAAGATATAATTTAGTTTAAAAAACTTAAACTAATAGTTACGGTGTAGTAGGAAAGTATACCGAAATATACACATATATATGATGGTAAGTATTTCATAATATAACAGTAATAGCAAATAATGTTTAAGGTATTGTCTGATACTTTGTAGCATTTATCTCTCTATATCCACCAAATCTAGCTATTTCGGAAATGACGTAAGCACCTTTGAAAATTTAGAGTTTAGACGATCGATTGTGCCTATTTTGGCGTGCGTACCTTAAACATAATGCTTACTAAGCTACGATAAGCTACTAGACCGGAAACGTATGTTAAATGTTTGAACTATTTTATTAAATAGTTTATTTTTAACTGAATTTTAGAATAAGAGACAAAAAGAACAAAGACAAAGAGTTATTCTTCTCTTACAATTTTATTTAGACAAGAACTGTATTTATTATATACGTTTAAAAGCCACGACAGAATTAAGTATTGTCTGTAATTTACAGAAGTCCACTTTAAGGTTAATAAAATATCTGTGTCAAAGTTTTTGACGTTTTGCCTCGTTAAAAACTTTGACACAGATATACCAAAAGCAATATAAAAAACAAACAGCATCCTTTTATTCGATAATATAGTTTTGACATTCTGTCGTGCGGTAAAGAAAACACTATGAACGTTTTAAAACGCGAAAAGTATTATATAACTTATTTACATTTTATTTTAAAGTAACTGTAATGGCGTTACGAGTCTCTCGCAGCAGCCGTGGTCACGGGGTGACTGAAGAGTGAAATCTCGTTAAAATATATTTTTAATAAGTGAACTAATATATTTTGTTCACACGTCTGGTCAAACACTTAGCTAACTTACCACCTACTTACTGGTAAAATTGATTATTGAAAAGGATTCATATGTATTCGCACTATACCCAACGGGGAAAAAAGATTTTAAATTTTTACTATGTAAAGAAGTACTATGCACAAAACTAACTTTTATTCTGACAAGTTCGCCCATCTGCTCTTTTGGTTCCCGACATTTATAATCTCTCGCTTTTCCTTCAACTTTATTTTAAGAAAAATTGCTTTCAAACTCTCTCCAGCAAAACGTCCATTACTATGGCAATATGTAGCGTAGCAAAAAGTGGCGTCCTTTAAAAGGCAATATAACATGAAGATGAACAAGAATTTCACTTGATATTTTCAAAGCACTATCTGACAAACACCTAAATCTATATTCCGTGAACGCATTTCATATTACCGTGAACATATTGAATTTATGAATTAGTAAGCAGTGTTTGACAGTGTAGATAATGTTTATGAAAGAGAATAGACCGTAGATTGGTGTTAATTAAGGTGGGTAAGCTATGCAAGCTTAAACAAATTCTGAAATTGCTAAACTAAAATTAAGATTAATTTACAATATTAATTAATCTACTTACCGTACACAAGATTAATTTAAAATATAATTTTCTATTCGGCACTAGCTCACTTTAAGTTTGTAATATTTTATAAAATACACGGACAAACTCTTTCTTTTTTACTGTACACAAGCTGTGTCGAATTCGTCCGCAGAGAATAGTTATTAAGGGCTCCAATTTGTTTTTGCAAGCCCACCATGTCGGTCGGGTCCCGTCGTGCTTGCTTAGTAAATCTTAAAAGATAGACATATCGTGTCGGGTACATTTTTTTTAGGTTATTTAACAAAAATCAGCGGTCGGATTGGAAACCCACAAGAAGAATAAGTTTCCCAGTTCTTTTCACATTTCCCGCTGTTTCTTGGCTCCTATTAGCCACATCACGTGTTTTATAACCTTCCTCGATAAATGCTCTAACCAACGCAAAAAAATCTTAAATTCTAACCAATAGTTTCTGAGGTTAGCGTGTTCATACAAACAAACTCTTCACTTTTATATATTAGGATAGATATGGCAGATGTGAAGTGTTTTAACGTTATAGGCATTGAAAGCACAGCTGATAGCAATAATCTTGACTACAATAAATGCATCTGTTAATTCATTAGCTACACTCAATGTTCAAATTTACAGATAACGATGACATAATAACGCGCTCGACGTCGTTGACCTGTCACTGATATTAACATTCGTGATTGAAATAGTTTCAGATAAAACAGAAGTAATATAACAACTAATACTTCGGTTTATTGCTATGCGTCTAATAAAGGCTGTATATAAAACATTAACTTGGATCAATTAAATACTGTCTGTGGTTTACGAGAGTAGTAAACGTCAAATACACAACTTTAAACGGTTTAAATCACGAAATATTATAGTTCAGTAGTTAAACTAGCTTTGATATTTTATAACATTGTATAGTTTAGTCCGGCCACCGTGCACATCTCGTAAACTCACTCTTCTTTGATCTTAGGTTGACTGGAAGAGATCGCTTGTTAGCGTTAAGAACCATGGCACTCCATATTTTTAGTATATAAGTTTTTATTTATTTTTTTACATTTTTGTTTAATAAAGTGTGTAAATATAAATACAGGAAAAATAGGACGACATCGCATCTTGCTTAAATTATGGCTGGGCTGTCTCTTCCATTAAGTGAACCCCGAACATAAAAAACAATATTTTATACCTCGTATCCGAAATAATGTTACCTAATATCGTGCTTTATTAATTTCTTAGATCAATTATATAGATAGCCGTTTCGACATATTAAATTTCCATGTCTGGGCCAAGGTTCTCTGGCATATGTAAGGCATATGCATTTAAGGAGCTGCTTCGAAATTAGTGTGGTAACCAAATCAACAGTATGCCCTAACCACTAAACCGATTTGTAAAAAGTGAAATCCCGTATCCCCCTCGTGGGGCATGGGGCGAATAAATTTCTGTGTCCGTGTCATTGATTTTTTAACAGGCAAGTCAAGATCAGAATTCTGTGCCTGAGGACCTCTCGCGTTTAACCGTTTGGCTACAGAGGCGGCTACTAAACTGTTGTAGTTGGTAGTAAATCATAGAGTGCATGCGATTAAAATTGAGAGTCGTGAATGTCCAGTAAACGTTCCATTTTGATTTCTATCAGTAACAAAGGTTAACCTGAAGGGAAAGCCGTGGCGAATGTCAGATACACTATTCTATTTGTAACAAATCGTAACGAATAAACGAGCGAAACTGGTTGGCTTTCGTCCCAATTGTTATTCTCACACGTCTACCGTATGAACTAAATTAAAACACAGGTAAAACATTCCGTATATGCACAAGTTAAATTAGTATAGCTTTGAACGTTGAATGGATACCGAGAGAGAATTTTTATAATTAGTGGCTTTCCGTTAGTTTTTTGCGTACTTTTTGAGGTGTCTAGTAGGATTTTTCTAGGAATAAAATTTCTCACAGTGTAATTAGATCTGCTGTGTTTACTTTATAAAAAAATAGACTTAAATATCGCGAAACTACAGTATTAGGTTTTTATTTATTCATTGATGCTTTACTGCATAAGAATAATAATAGTACAGATAAAACTTTATGCTAGAATGGAGTACAATAAAAAAATATTTAAAGCCAAATATAAGTCGACAGCACATCTTGCTGAGATTCTATATGGCTGGGATATTTCACCTTCTGTTAAGAGAATCCTATGCTTGTCTTCGTCTATCATAAAAAAATAGGTTTAAGTTTAATACCCCTCTGTAACTATGAAAATTTAAATATCTACGTTTCTATTACAAATAATATATGGCATACAATTTATTATCTTTATTGAATAATATGAACAGCAATAACAACTATGTTCGATTTAGGTAGAGCAGCGAGTGTCTGAACAAATGCCAAAAACAAATACGAATA